GGGGGAAGGAGGAGTGGACTGTAAAGAGAAGTATTTTATTGGGGATAATAAAAAAATCTGGCTGTAACAATGAGCTACAGTACCGTAAGCAGACTGAACAGCACTGAACTAGAATCTAATTTCTTCTGTATAATTTATAATTCTAATGTAGAATTCTAGTGGCACTCTGAAACAGAAATGGACATTCTAAGATGACTGGTGACTCCAGAAACACGCATGTATGGACTGCCTGATAGTCAGGATTTCTTTCTTTCTGTGGACACACACCTCAGATGTTGTGGGGGTGAGATGTGTGTTCAATTTCCACAAGACAGGAGCTGAGAGATGACTCAGCAGGTAAGCACACTGGCTGTTCTCCCACAGGAGACAGGTTCAATTCGCAGTTCACAACTGTCTGTATGTAACTCCAGTTCCAAGGGATCAAAACCCACATACAGACACACAAGCAGAACACCAACGCTCATAAAATAAAAATCATTACAAAACTTACATACAGCAAACATTTTCATTTCCTAAAATAAAAGCATGCTGGAATTTGCTGTGGAAGCTGGAGGCAGGGTGGGCCCTTCACAGAGCTGGCACTAAGAAGCAGGCAATACATACCCAGAAGTGGTTCTGTGATGGTCAGTAAAGCAATGCAGCCAGGAGGCGTGAACTCCGTCTGCCCCAGATCGCACTCCAGGTAGTCAACCGAGGGGATGCTGAAATTGTTAGAGACAAATCTCGGTCAGCCTGCCTCTGGAAGAGTGATTTGTGTCACAGACGCCATCACCCTGGGTGGCCGCGCAGCAGCCAGAATTCAGAAGACGAGGGCCACAGCACAGGCAAGGCCCCGTAACACTAACATGCACGGTCATCTCCACAACAGAACAGGGCTCAGATGGGGATAATGCCTGGACCAGTACAGACCCCAAGCCTCTGTTCTGCAGGTCAGTCACCTGTGGAGCAGTGCCGCTGCCCAGGTGACAGTGCACAACTCCCACCTCAAGTCTCTCCATCTAGCTGGGCATGGTGGCTTACACCTGTAATCATAGCACTGGGGAGGCTGAGGCAGGGGAATCACCGAGAGTGCAAGGTCAGCCTGGTCTAGCCAGTGAGACCATGCCTCCAAACATCAAACAGAAGCAGAACTCTCCGTCTGCCACTCACTTCACGCCCAGGTGATGGAACAAACACTCTCTCGCTTACCTGTTTAGTAAGTGGTTAATCAGTATTCGATTGAACGTTGATTTTCCAATGTCACAAGCACCACACAACAGGATGACAGGGCAGCCATCTACTTTTGCAGGTAAAACAAACAGTGAGCCCTGGTGTCAACCAGTTGTCAGGACTCTAGCTACGAGCAGCGAATGAGGCTTTAGGGAACGCTGGCACTAGCAAAGGTAACACTCACCGCAGGACACGCTGACTAACTCTTTTAGGGCATAGAGCCCACTCTCACTCAAGCAAATGCCTTTCTTCCTCCTCTGTCTTTTGATGCCAATTGCCTTCAAAGTTTCATACTCAGAGTATATCTTCGAAGGAGGATTCTGAAATACAACAGTTGAAGCTGTAAGGAAGGGTTTTTTAAATGCTGGCTTCTAAGTTAATAAGCATCAGACAGTTGAGAGTTACAAAACAAAACAAAAAATTTGGTTCCTTTCTCTCAACACTCCATGAGTGTGTGCTGCCCACTCTTTCTGAAGAGCACGTCTGTTTTCACAGCTTACACCCACTCTCAGGTTGCCACTGCCTCAGGAGAAAGAAAGGCATGAAAATGGAGGAAAAGGTCGACAGAGACAACTGGGGACAGGCTGGTGATCTGAAACAAAATCAAGACCACCTCTGAAAACACAAAACACAGGACAGATGCAAATTGAGCTGAAGAGTGAAAAGGGCAGGTGTGCTCATTTCGCTGGAAGCAGAGGGAATCTACAAAGGGCATGTGCTACAAAGGTGAAAATAGCCACCACATAAAAGAGAATGAAAGAATGAACCACCCCCAAAACACATGCTTACAAAATCAGCAGCTCAGTTTAAAAAAAACAAGAGGCCATTGCTGCCTTGGGTGCCTCCAATTCTCAGTATCTCCTGCAGAGGATAAAAATGTACTCAGAGTTGGAGAGATGGTTCAGCAGCTAAGAGTGATGACTGCTCTCGAAGAAGACCACAGTTTGGTCCCCAGCAGCCATGTCAGACAGCTCACAGTCACTCTTAACTCCAGCACCAGGAAACTTGATACCATCTTCTGGCCTCCTGAAAATATGTGGCTACACAGACATACAAATGAGAACAAACAAACAAACAACTCCTCAAAATGCAATAACATGAAAGGCTAGGGAAATGGCACACTGGATAAAACTCGTTATCGTAAGCAGAGTTCAAATCCCCAGCACCCATGCAGAACTTAGGGACTGGAGGCCGCTTGTAGTCCCAGCACTTGGGAAGCACGGCTGGAAAGCCAGGGGAAAGCTGGGCACAAAACGAGCTGTACCTGGAGGGCCTAGGTTTAGTAAGAGACCACACGAAATGAGGAAGTGGAGACAGACTGAGGAGCACACTCCAACCTCGACAGCATGTACATGCATACTCCATACAGGTAACCAACCCCCACATTCAAGCAAGTAAGTACATAAAAATTTAGCCACAGGAGCCACTGTAGTAACATGTCTGTAACCCCAGAACTCTGCAGGCAACAGAAGAGGAAAACCAAGCTGAAGTCTCTGTAGGCTACACAGTAAAAAAACTGTGTGTGTGTGTGTGCTGAGCTAGCCGAGGTTAGGAGGACTTTTAGTTCTTCTAAAGGACTGAAGCTCCCATGCTGTGTCGCTGTGTGGCTTACAATTTCCTGTAACTTCCGTTCCACAGGGATCCCAAACCTCTGGGCTACACAGAACTTTGCACACATGTGCATGTACTCACGAGGTTAAATACTGAAATAATAACCATAAAAGCACATCCATGACCAACTACCTTCATTTCATCTTCAAAGCAACTCCTAAGCCTCCCACTGTCCAAGGCCAGGGATGACTTGGTGCCCTTTCCCACTGTTAAGGAACCATGAGAAGAATTCTGTTTGCTCCTCTCCTCCTACACTTGTTCTCTGGCTACTATGCAAATGATCTACCTGGCCAGGTGGAGTGGTGCACACTTAAATTTTAGCATTTATTTATTTTGTTTCTTTGGAGACAGGGTCTCCAGCTCCTGAGTGCTGGGATTAGCTGCTGTGGCAATCTTTTTTTGTGCACTGTGTAAGCATCACCTTTCTCAGTGTTTTGTGAGCATCTTCTCCATCACCTTCTGACTGATTTAATAAAGAGCTGAATGGCGGGGCTGGAGAGATGGCTCAGTGGTTAAGAGCACTGTCTGCTCTTCCAAAGGTCATGAGTTCAATTCCCAGCAACCACACGGTGGCTCACAACCATCTATAATGTGAACTGATTCTCTCTTCTGGCAGGTGTAAACGCAGATAGAACACTCATATACATAAAATAAATAAATTAAAAAAAAAAAAAAAAAAGAGCTGAATGGCCTAGAACAAAGCAGGAGAGGATAGGCAGGACTTCAAAGTAGATACAGGACCTCTGGGGAAGAATCAAGCTCAAGGGATTCACCAGTCAGACATGGAAAAAGAAACAGGATACCAGGACTGAAAAGAGGTAAAGAGCCACGTGGCAGAACTTAGATTAGTATAAAGGGGTTAATTTAAGTTACAGGAGTGAGTTGGGAACAAGCCTATCCGGCCATAATAGTAAAAAGTCTCTATGTCATTATTGGAAGCTGGTGGTCCAAAGAAAGTCCTGTTATAATTAAAGGTTTTTGCCAAAACACCCTGTTTTAACCTTAGGATTTAAAAGGCTGAGGATAGCCAGGGTTATGTGGGGTTATGTGACATCCTGTCTCAAAAGCAACCAAGCAAGCAAGCAAGCAGGGTTAAGGGAAGAGAACCTTGGTACATGGCTACCCTGGGCAGCAGACAGACCATGTGTCAAGATAAAGCAAACACAGGAACAAATGCCCACGCTTAGAGGCTAAGAGCACTTGCTGTTAGCTAGGTGGCAGTGGTGGTGCACTCCTTTAACCCCAGCACTCAGGAGACAGAAGCAGGCCGACCTCGGAGGTTGAGGCCAGCCAGGTCTACAAAGAGAGTTCGAGGGCAGCCAGGGCTGCACAGAGAAACCCTGTCTGGAAAAACCAAAAAAGGGCCTGGCACTGGTGGTGGTGCACACCTCTGATCTCCATGAGATCCGCCTGCCTCTGCCTCCCTCAGTGACGAGATCACAGGGCGTGCGGTGGAGCGCCGGGCTTCTGTCACCTAGGTTCTGTTCTCCGGTGCTTTCTCTGTTGCAGGCTCCCAAATTCACAGCCCTACCCTTTTCTCCAAACCGCAGACTCACATACTCCACAGCCTACCTGACATCTCCAACTGGATTTCTTTTTGTCTTTGGAGACAGGTGCCATGCAGATCAGGGTAGCCCTCAAATAACTGTCTAGTTGGAGACACGGCTCTGATTCCTTATCCTTCTGAGTGCTGGGACTGCAGGCCTATCCTACCACAGCTGGCAAAGAGGTGGCTTCAGCTGGGCACTGAAACTGAGGAAGAGGGAAAATGCTCATGATGAGCTTTCTGTAAGTGCCTAGTTGAGGGCACGCCATGCCCCAGGAGCAGGGCCTGAGGACCACATCCATGAGCACTCCCCTCCTACCATGAGTGCCTAGGATGGAACCCACGTCAGTCAGGTTCTTCCGCAAGCGCCTTTAGCCAGGACACACCTCTCTGTACAGACTATTTCCTAACTGGTCACATATGTGATCTCCTTAACACCTGCTGCACTCACTCACAGGACAGAGAGGATGAGAGCGCTTCTTACAGAGCCATTCAACTCACCACAAAGGACCAAGGAGTGCTGGGCTTACCTCCTGCAAGAAGACATAAGACGCACACTTATAGAAGCGCAAGAACTCCACGATAGGGGTCCTCAGCCGCTCCAGCACGAGAATTGAGCCCAGAGGAGGGAAATGCTTTAGTGCCCACTTTCTGTCGTCTGCAAAGAGAAGGGCAAGACACCTCAGAAGTAGTTACAATTCTAGACCCGCACGGCTGCATCTGAAGGGCTCAACTATAGGCTTGTCAAGAGGGTCAAGTAGAGCTGATTCTCCACATCCTGGTGGGGACGCACGACTCAAGCCTGCCACCCCACCAGCTTCATGGTCTTGCAGAACTTTTAGTGGAAAGAGGTGGAATCAATAGTATTTTAGTACTGAAGACTCCCTGTGAGAATTCATATAGAGTACAATGTCCACATTGTAACAAGTGCGTAAAATTGCTAGCCTTGTCGAAGGAAGCTGAAGCCAATTACCCAGTTTCGTGTGAGGCTTGAGCAAGGCCCGGATCTCCCTTTTGATCTTCTTTTCACTTTTCTCAGGATCTGAGTGCTGAAGCCCATTTATGGTCAGGAAAGAATGGGTGTAGGCAGAAAAGACATCTTGGGGAGGCTGGCCTTGTTTGATGACATGGCCATATATTTCCACCCGGCCATAGATGCAAGTCACGCGGCAGATCCCACTAAAAGTAAAACCCTAGCAGGGAAAGAAAAAACATTATGGACACTATTACCAAAGACAGAAAAATGCTAAAATCTTAACTTGCTATTTACTAATCAAAACGATTTTTTTTTTTTTCTTGAAACAGCCTCATGATGTAGCTCTGGCTAGAACTGACTATACAGAACAGGCTGTTACAACTCATCCCTGTATTCAAAGTTGCCACACCCACAAAATCCATTTCTAAGTATCAAATTACACAGCACTGGGGCTGCAAGGGCAGGTGGGTCAGTGTATAAGCGCCCTTGGACCCGACGCCCTCTTATGGCCTCTTCAGGCCCTGCGTGCGCACTGTGGGCAGAAAAGCAGGCACACTCATTCACATTAAAATCAACAACACTGCACTGCACGAGGGAACCAATTTCTGCCAGGTTTTTAACCCAACCCTAAACATCATATCCCCATTGCCAACTCCCAACGAGCTCACACACTTCACCACCGAGTGCTCACAGAGGCGCACGGCGCACAGAGGCAGCCCCAAGTCTCCAACTCCTGAGGCTGCACTTCTTCCCGGTAAACGAGTAGCAATCTCCCGGACGGGGTCCACGTCAGACCGCCTCGGTTTTACTCCTGGCTCTGCCTTTCTGCTGCAACTCACTTACCTTGTTTTTCGGCCATACAAGAAAGAGATGGCAATCGCCACTCCCGTGAGAGCTGGGAGTGCTAAGCGGTTTGGAATACCTGGAACGCTGGCAGCTAAGGGCTAGTAAACCCGACCCTTTGATCTGCCAGCCTAGCAAGCAGACTCCTGAGCAGGGGGTGGATCTGCATCCGGGGGACAAGGGCGAGGACCACGATTGTCCGCTCACCAACAGCTTCCCGCGGGCGACTTACCTCCCAGAGCGGCAGCAGCAACAAAACACGGCCCGAGCCCAGCTCCCGAATGGACTGGGAGACTTTGGGCGACAGCGTTTGCGTGAGTGGGGGGACGTTCGACAGCGTTCGGAAACGGTAGTCGGCGAAGCTGCGGGCCTCGGGCTGGCTGCGGGGCCTGAGCTGGCTTCGGGACCTGGGCGGGCTGCCAAGCGCGGGCCGGCTGCGGGGCGTGGGCCGGCTGCGGGTCCGGACTTTGCACTTTCCCGCCACGTGCGGGCCCCCGGGGACACCCAGCTTCCAGTCCCCGCCCAGTGCGTGAGCCCGCAGCAGCCGCCGTCGCAGGCGCCGCAGCTCGCCCCGTGTCAGGATCCCAAATCGGCGACGGCCCCGACGGCTGAGGAGGAGGTGGGGCCGGGCCTTGCGGACCCGCTGCCAAGAGGAGCGGCTCGCAACCCGCCGGAGCAGCACCTCGGAGTCCGCCATGCTTGGCCCGGAACACCTCCGGCGCGAGAATCTCGCGAGATCAACGTCGCCCCGACCCCAGAGGAAGACGTGCAGAGCTGCTAGCGCCCTCTCCCGGCCAGCTTCTGCAGGGCATCATCAGGGACTTGAGCCCTCAATACCTAGGCGCAGGCTGCCAGGCAAGCTTTGCGGTCCCACCCAGGGCCCCATTTACATTATGCAAAAGCCCATTCTGGCCGATTGGAGAGGGAGAGCCAAACCCCGTAGATTTAACACAAGGCCACCTCTCAGGAAATCCACCTGGGATTTTTTTTTCTTCCTGCAGAAAAAAACTCCTGGATTGGCATTAAAAACAAATTCTGTCTATTTGTATATGCTGGGTTTGCATACATTTGTCTTCTGGCTGTCGGGAGCAATCCTGGATAGCAAAGTTTAAACCATGATGATTAGCTCACAGTTTGAATGTCTGAATACCGGGGCCGCCAACTCAAAGTCTGGTCTCAGGTTGACTAAATTAAATGATATTTACTAAGTTCTGTAACTGCCAAGGCACCGACGTAGCCAGCAGTACTTATTACTGCCTTCCTTGACAGAGGTAGGAGGATGGCCTGAGCCCTGGGCAACAGAGCAAGAGATTGCCGCAAAAACAAAAGCAAACAAACAAAAACAAAATAAACAAGATACACCATCAGCTCCCTGATAGTAGCTCTGACCACCTTCAGTGGCCCAGCCTTCCCTCTCCCCCCAAAAGCAGCAGGGGCTCTCCTCCTGAGCCAGGTGAAGCCAGAGCACCAGGGCAAAACAGAAACCACAGCCCTCCAGAGGAGGGGGTCTCAGAGAGCCACCTGGTTTGCATCCATGTCCTGGCCCTGCCCAGTTCCTGAGAGAGACCACAGCCAGGAAGGGCAACAGGCTTTCAACAACTGGGCTCCAGTCCCACCCCTTTCAGGGGCATGAAGTTATGAAGCATCTGGGCAGCTGTCATTCATTGTATTTAAGCAGCCAGCCTTGTCAGAAGTGAGCTACGCCATGCTGGGCAAAGGGACATCTTGCCAGCATGTTTTTCTGGGTAGTTCACCTGGTCAGCCTTCAGCTCCCTGTTGCTTATTGCTGGACTCCCAGCTGCTACAGGACAGAGTCCTCTCCAGGCTTCAGCCTCCCAGGGGATTTCCTCCTTGGGGGCCTGTTCTCTCTCCATGCTGACTGTCTGCAGGTGAGGCACAGACCCCAGGTGACAAGGTGTGACAGGTGAGTAGGGGCCACAGAGCTATCACCTACTGTTTGGTGCTCGCCTAGAGTAGCTGAGGCCCTGGGTCTAACCTCCAGTACCACATCAGCTGGATTTGGTGGCTAATGCATGAGGCCAGTCTAGGCTAGAAACCCTGTCAAAGAGAGGGGGCCTCTCACTTACTGGAGCACAAGGGCCCCTCTGTTTGCTTTAGGCTACTCACTGAGTTCTGCCCCAATCCTTCCCCACCAATCTGTAATGGCTGAAATCAAGCAGATGGCTAAACAAGCCCATCAGTTTCTACTTTATGGTGTCGTTTGCTTATTTATATTGCAATGTGTTATTTTGTTCTGTGTATTATTATCCATACCTCAATATGTTCTTTTGCTTTTGCTGTTAAAAGTAGGTTGCAGCTCAGTTTGATTCTCCTGGCTTTTCTCCAGCTGGCAAGTGGAGTTCCCCATGACTTTTCTTTTAAAGATGACTTCTTGCAGTCTATACAAGTCTTATATTGGGGGAGGAAGGTCGAGTGTTAGTGCACTGCGGTGTGAGATATCCTGCCCATGATGACTGACTGTTGGCCAGGACATGTGACATTGGGAACCCTGGCCTATGAGGACTAGGCCTCTGAGAGCTGCAGATAGGACACTGGGAAGAGAACACTTGGGCTTGGAAGACAGGTTTCCAGGATACCAGAAAACTGGCTTAATGTAACTGAGGGACTCTATGTTCAAGAGGTACTGAGCCTCTCAGTACAGCCAGAAGAGGAACATGAGTGCTGGAAGGCAGAGAGCTGGAGAGCACAACAGACTGATGTGCTCTTCATGAAGGGATGAATCATGTCTTCAGCACCATGTCCCTCTTGACAACAGTCACCAAAGCAGAGAACTTTCAGCCTAGGTTGAAGCATATGAGGCAGGTGTAATGGTTAATTTTACATGTCACTTTGACCAAGAGATGGCGCCTAGAGTTGCTGTCTCAAACATCAGTTTAGATGTTACTGCCCAAGTATGTTTTTGATGTGGTTAACATTTAAATTGATAGGTTGCTTATGGACAGTAAATGGGCCTCACAAAATCCATTTAAGTAAGGCCTTCAGAGACGAGACTGAGGTCCTGCAAAGGACTGGAGTACCCAGCTGCCCTCAAATACAGCAGATTGCCCAGCTTTCTGGTTAGCCGTCCAAGCTTTGAACTAAATAACTCCCACAGTTATGTGAGCCAGTTCCACAAAGTAAACCTTCTCCTGTGTGCATGTTTGTATGTGTTTGAGAGAGAGGGAGGAGAGGGGAGAGAGAGAGAGAGAGAGAGAGAGAGAGAGAGAGAGAGAGAGAATTTACATGCATGTATTACCTCTGTTTCTTTAGGGTGAGCTTTTTAAAAATCTCGCATTTATGGCAAATTTTTGTACCTGAAAAAGGATTTTAAAGATTTATTTTTATGTTTTATATGTAAGAGTATTTTATCTACAAATATGTCTGGGTACCATGTGCATGCCTGGTGGCCACAGAGGCCAAAATAGGCATCAGATCCTCTGGAGTTACACATGACTGTGAACTGCTATGTGGTTGCCGGGAATTGAACCTGGACCTCCGGGAGAGCAGCCAGTGCTCTCAACCACTGAGCTATCTCTCCAGCACCCCCTGAGAATTTTTTGTTTGTTTTTGGAGACAGGTTTCTCTGTCATGGACTTCCTTTGTAGATCAAACTGGTTTCAAAATCAAGAGATCCAACTGCTTCTGCCTCCCAAGTGCTGGGATTTAAGGTGTGTGCCACCAGGCCTGGCCCCACCCCTTCAAATTTTTAAGTGACTTTAGGTATACAAAATAGGTAGATATTGCTGGCATGGTGGTACACGCCTTTAATCCTAGCACTCAGAAGGCAGAGAGAGAGACAGGTGGATCTCTGTGAATTCCAGGCCAGCCTCCTCTATATAGTCCCAGGCCAGCAAGGGCTGTCTGGTGAGACCTTCTCAAAAAAGACAGCGCCGGGTGGCGGTGCACTTTAATCCCAGCTCTTGGGAGGCAGAGGCAGGTGGGTCTCTTTGAGGTTGAGGCCAGCCTGGTTTACAAATTGAGTTGAGGGCAGCCAAGGCTACAAAGAACAGAGAAATCCTGTCTTAAAAAACAAAAACAAAAAAAAAAAAACAAGAAAAAAAAAAGACTAAAACACTGCATATTAATGAAATGAATGTATTTGTTTATTTTCACATAAATCTCAGCTAAATATTTGGCATTTCTGGACACAGAAATTATTTTACAGTTAATTGATATGTTGATTGCTGAAAACACTACTTCAAATATATAGTATAAATGGCAAAAGTATGCTTAGGACCATTTCAGAAATTATCAAAAATCCTGTCTCAATGCCATGCCAAAAAAAAAAAAAAAAATCATTAAGCCAGCAATGAAATAAACATTCAGTTAGTCAAGCATTTCTGTACACTCCAATGTGGAGAGACACCGGTCTGATGCTTACGTGCTACAGACCGGCAGCAGCCAAGGAGAAAAGGGGTTTGCTTTGCTTTATTAAACCCTCATGTTCCCCTGAGAGCAGGAAACTTTTTTCATTCAACAAGGACACCTTGTAACATGTGATAGTCTCAATTCTGAGAACCTGAGCTGAGGTGTTTCAGGCTGGTGCTGGCTTGGACAGAGACCTCAGAGGTTCCTTTCTGCCTCCAAAGCCTGGGGTGCAGGAGGCAGAGGGTCTTGTGGGCTTTAAGCTTCTGAGTTCTCCCTGGGCTCTCCCTGCAGACCTGACAGCTTCAATGGCCATGGCTACCACCTCTTCCAGGCCATGAGGTTCGGCATTGAGGAGATAAACAACTCCACAGCCCTGCTTCCCAACATCACCCTGGGGTACGAACTGTATGATGTGTGCTCAGAGTCTGCCAACGTGTACGCCACCCTGAGGGTGCTCGCCCTACAGGAGACTAGGCACATCGAGATGCAGAGAGATCTTCACAACTATTCCTCCACGGTGGTGGCACTCATTGGGCCTGACAACACTGACCACGCTATCACTACTGCTGCCCTGCTGGGCCCCTTTCTGATACCCCTGGTAAGCCAAGCCTCAGAACCTCCATCTAGGGTGAAAGTCTAGAGTGGAAGGCAATGGGAGCTGGGTCCTCTCTAAGGGCAGGAAGCCCCCTTGATCTCTAGTCAGGTTGCAGGCATTCTGACCATCATTGCTACTGCCCAGTCTTCCTGACTTCCTGTCTCAGCCATCTTTGGGAAACCCTGTCCTTTCTTTTTCTTTTTTTTTTTTTTTTTTAAGATTTATTTATTTATTTATTACGTATACAGAGTTCTGCCTGCATGTACACCTGCATGAGAGAATAGCACACCAGATCTCATTATAGATGGTTGTGAGCCACCATGTGGTTGCTGGGAATTGAACTCAGGACCTATGGAAGAGCAGTCAGTGCTCTTAACCTCTGAGCCATCTCCCCAGCCCAACCCTGTCCTTTCAAATTTTGTTTGTTTTGAGATAGGGTCTTCAATGTAGCTCTGGCTGTCCACATCTCACTATGTGGACCAGGCTGGCCTCAAACTCACAGAGATCCACCTGCCTCTGCCTCCCAAGTGCTGGGATTAAAGGCGTGTGCCACCGCCCCCCTGGCTCTCTGTCATTTTGAAAGTCTTGCCACCCAATTGTTTACTTTCTGTGCCTTCCCTCTATCCAAAGTCTCCACTGTCTCTGTTATCCTAATAGCCTTTACTTCCCAGGTACTAGATCACCTGCAGGCAATCCATTCTTCCTTGCTGTTCAGTGGTGGTTCTGTGCTGCCCCAAGCCTGGCCCCCTGCTGCGCTCAGCAGTCTGTCTAAGAAGGTCTCCTATCTACAGGGATCCCTCTTCCGAGTCCCCTGTCCTCATGTATCTGGCTCTTCCTGTGTCTTGTCACTGAACTTCCTAGAGCTCTCTAGTCTAGCTTGGTTCACCCATTTGTGCCTCAGCCTTGGATTTTGTCCTCACTTCATGTGTGCCTTCTAGAGCTCCTAATCCAATAACCACTTGTCCGTCCTTTGCCCTGCATGACTTTTATGAGATGTCCAACCACTCCTTGTATAGCACCGTCCTTGGCATGTATGTCCTCACACCTCTCTCTCTCTCTCTCTCTCTGTCTCTGGAGAGGGTCCTTTTGCCTCCTGCCCCTCCCTGGTCTCCTCTCCCCTGCCCCCATTCCTGGCATGCATTCTGACTTCTGACCACGCCTTCCTCACCCACTTTCTCCAGCAGCAGCTCCATGCTGAGCTCACTTCCCTTTAAGCCTTGCCATGGCCCACGATACCCACCTAGGTTTTTACTGCCAAATCATTGCCATCAAATCTAGTTTCCCTTCAGAGCCCATCTTTTGGCTTGGTAGAGGCGGCACAAGCCTTTAATCTCAGAGCTTTTGAGGCAGAGGCAAGCAGATCTCTGAATTCGAAGCCAGCCCTGGTCTGTAGAGCAGTCCAGGACAGCCAGGGCCCCACAGAGGAACTGTTTCCAAAAACCAAACCAAACAACCAACCAAACGAGTCTTTCACTTTCCTCTTTTCCCCTTGGCTTTTTGAGACAGGGTCTCGTGTGGCCCAGATGGGCCCTGTACTTGCATCACAGTCCAGGCAGGGTGGCCTTGAACTCCTGATACTCCCACCTCTACCTACCAAGTGCTGCTTTACTGGCCACAGCTGGTTAAATCTTTCACCTTTTACAGACCACCACTAACTGTCACTAAGGTGATTTCATCAGGCCCTTGCTCTAAACTTTCCAGCAAGTTCTTCTTCACTTGAATTAGAGACAGACTCCTCAAACTTGATCTGAATATGTCATTTATCAGGGGGAACCTTAGGAGCTCCCTGCAGTGTGCAGGATGGAAGTGAGAGTTAAGGTCTCCTGCCCTGTCCTTCCTATGCCAAGGACCTGTGGCCAAGAGAGCATGGCTTGTTCCCCGTTTAAAACACATCGTCTATCAGGCAGTTTACATTTGGTCTATTAGACCCAACCCCACCCCTCCTGGACAGCCCCAGAGAAGCCTGCCGTCTTGGCCTGCATCCTTCCTATACTGGGGGGGGAGGAGACCATGGGGGTGGGGCTGACCCTAGTGAATGGAACCCCTCCCCACAGATCAGCTATGAGGCCAGCAGTGTGATACTCGGTGAAAAGCGGCAGTACCCATCTTTTCTCCGTACCATCCCCAGCGATAAGCACCAGGTGGAGGTCATGGTGAGGCTACTGCAGAGTTTCGGGTGGGTCTGGATCTCACTCATCGGCAGCTATGGTGATTACGGGCAGCTGGGGGTAAGGGCTCTGGAGGAGCTGGCCACATCTCAGGGCATCTGCATTGCCTTCAAGGACATCGTCCCTTTCTCGGCCCGGGTGGGGGAGCCCAGAATGCAGCGCATGATGGACCACTTGGCCCAAGCCAGGACCACTGTGGTTGTGGTTTTCTCTAACCGGCACCTGGCTAGAGTGTTCTTCCGCTCTGTGGTGCTGGCCCACCTGACTGGCAAGGTGTGGATTGCCTCAGAGGACTGGGCCATCTCCACATACATCAGCAAGATGCCTGGGATCCGAGGCATTGGGACAGTGCTGGGCGTGTCCATTCAGCAGAGACAAGTCCCTGGCCTGAGAGAGTTTGAAGAGTCTTACGTCAGGGCAGTAACGGGTGCTCCCAGGGCCTGTCCAGAGGGGTCCTGGTGCAGCAGTAACCAGCTGTGTCGGGAGTGCCATGCCTTCACTGCGCATAGCATGCCCACACTCGGGGGCTTCTCCATGAGTGCTGCCTACAACGTGTACCAGGCTGTGTACGCTGTGGCCCACGGCCTCCACCAGCTCCTGGGATGCACCTCGAAGGTCTGCTCCAGAGGCCCAGTTTACCCATGGCAGGTAAGGGATTCCAGCCAGGGTGTCGGCACCCAGAACAGCCGATCCTAGGAGTGGGGTGCACTGTCTGCTCTTCTACCAGGTGCACCCTTCTCTTCTGATATTCCTTGTTTTCTCCCAGCCCCATGCCCCAGTGATGTCAAAGGCTAAAGTGCTTACAAAACAGTCCTTTATGAGAGGTCTCCTCTCAGGAGGCTGGTCAGGGCATTCTGACTAGGGGTGAGAACAGACTGCTGAGGAAGGAACCAGGCCTTAAGAGTAGGCTGGACCCTGCAGGACACAGCTCAAGCGAGCCCTGCTGACTCCCTGGGCTGCTTGACTCTGTGTGGTCTGTGTCGCTTCATACATCTGTCTCTCCTAGCTTCTTCAGCAGATCTACAAGGTGAATTTTCTTCTCCACAAGGATACTGTGGCATTCGATGATAATGGGGACCCTCTAGGTTATTATAACATCATTGTCTGGGACTGGAGTGGACCTGAATGGACCTTTGAGGTCATCGGCTCTGCCTCATTGTCTCCAGTTCATCTGGACATAAATAAGACGAAAATCCAGTGGCACAGGAAGGACAATCAGGTAATGGGGACAAGGTCACTCTTCAGGTGCCTGGTTTGGAGCCCAGAGACTGATGCCTACCGAAAGCGGGAAAGAGGCCACAGATGTCAGGCTGTGACAGGTCTGCTCACTCTTGCCAGGGACTCTGGCCCCACGTGTCACCATGCAGATGCCCAGCTTGGGTCTCGGCTCCCCTGACCCTGGGCTCTGCTCTCACAGTGAACCTGGAGCTGCCCCTCGCCTTGGGCGCCTCTGTGTGATTGAGACCACTGTGGCTTCTCACAGGTGCCGACGTCCGTGTGCACTGGGGACTGTCGGGAGGGTCACCACAGGGTGGTTGTGGGCTCGCACCACTGCTGCTTCGAGTGCATGCCTTGCGAAGCTGGGACCTTTCTCAACAAGAGCGGTGAGTGAACAGTGAGTGATCCAGCACCCAAGGGCCTCAGAACCTGGGCTCCAGCCCACAGGCTTGTCAGTTGGGTATAGGCTGGAGGACATTTGCCACTTGGATGAATTCTGATTGGGCAGAAACAACCATTTGGAAGCCTCAGACCTTGGTGTGTCCTCTGTCAGAGGACCCTGTCATCCCTCACCCACCACTGGCTCCTACAGATGAATCTGGTCCTAACTGCAACATCTTTATCCAAAGAGACACAGCTCCTCTGTGCTGTTCTGTTCATATGAGGCCCCTTCCTTGAGCCAAGGAGTCAGCTCCTGAATGGCTTGGGTTAAACGTAGACACTTGATGTCTGCAGGGAAGAGAGCATAACAGAGAGCTATGGACTCAGCTTATACAGCAGGGCACACATTCTTTCCTTTTAATAACTCGGTGGTGGGCGTGTCCGCTGGGTGCATCACCAGGGAGTCAGGACTCAAGAGAGCTCGGAGTGAAGCTCAGGTGTATCTGGTTAATGGAAACACTGGGGAGAGAGACAGACAGGCCATATCTTTAAAGCTGGTTGCTCTTACCAACTCATTGCCTCACTAGCCTGCAGGTAGAGCTACTGGCATAAAGCTGTGTTGCAGAGCCCCATGGGATCCTGAGTCACAGAAAACACGGAGCTTTTGAGGATGTGTTTAGAGCCTGTGGCTGTTCTGAGATCCCCCCTCACTACGGCTCCAGAAGCCTGCCTGTTGAGCTGCAGCCCTCCCAGCATCTTGCAGGCCTGAAAGCCATTGGCCTCTGTTCCCCTTCTGCTCACCTGGCTCTGAGGAACCTGGTCTTCCCTTTCAGATCTTCACAGCTGCCAGCCTTGTGGAAAAGAAGAATGGGCACCGCAGGGAAGCACAGGCTGCTCCTCACGTGCTGTTGAGTTCCTGGCTTGGCATGACCCCATCTCTTTGGTGCTATTAACAGCTAACACACTCTTACTGCTGCTGCTGGTTGGGACTGCTGGCCTGTTTGCCTGCCATCTTCACACACCGGTGGTAAGGTCAGCCGGGGGCAGGCTGTGCTTCCTCATGCTGGGTTCACTGGCTGCAGGGAGTTGCAGCTTGTATGGCTTTTTCGGGGAGCCCACGGTGCCCACATGCTTGCTGCGTCAGCCACTCTTTTCTCTCGGGTTTGCCATTTTCCTCTCCTGCCTGACAATCCGCTCCTTCCAACTGGTTGTGATCTTCAAGTTTTCTACCAGGATACCCACATTCTACCACACCTGGGCCCAAAACCACGGTGCTGGTCTATTTGTCATTGTTAGCTCCGGGGTCCATCTGCTCATCTGTCTCACATGGCTTGCAGTGTGGACCCCACTACCCAGCAGGGAATACCAGCGCTTCCCCCATCTGGTGATTCTTGAGTGCACAGAGGTCAACTCCGTGGGCTTCCTGTTGGCTTTCACCCACAATACCCTCCTCTCCATCAGCACCTTTGCCTGCAGCTACCTGGGTAAGGAACTGCCAGAGAACTATAACGAAGCCAAATGTGTCACCTTCAGCCTGCTTCTCAACTTCGTATCCTGGATCGCCTTCTTCACTATGTCCAGTATTTACCAGGGCAGCTACCTGCCCGCGGCCAATGTGCTGGCGGGGCTGACCACTCTGAGTGGCGGCTTCAGCGGTTACTTCCTCCCCAAGTGCTATGTGATTCTCTGCCGTCCAGAACTCAACAATACGGAACACTTTCAGGCCTCCATCCAGGAATACACGAGGCGCAGCGGCTCTACCTGATCCATGGGGACTGTTGGGGCAGGGCAGGACCAGAAGCCTCTCCTGTCTTGAAGGTGGCAGGTCCAGCGGGGCTGAGAGCCTGAGGTGTCTGGGAGAGTTCACCCACGGCTTGCGTTGTATAAGCACACAGAAGAATCCAGTGCAATAAAGCCGTAATGTGTGTGTGTAGTGTCTGTGTAGCTTCTTGGCTGCTCTTCCGGTCTGGGGCGATTTGGGGAGCGCACACTAACTAGCGGGAGTCTAGCCCCCAGCTTGATGTTGCTAGGCGACTTCCAGAAAAGATAACCCGCGTTTGGATTTGGGCCCGGCCCTGCCCCCTACGCGGCGCTTGGCTCTTTCTGTGAGGCTCCGCCTCCGCGGCGGGCCTTAGGAGCCTTACGCTACCGAGGCGTCCGGTTCAGGCCTGAGCGCCAAACGTCACATCCGGCGCGGCGACGGCGGCGACTCCGCGCGGTGGGCCGGGCAGTATTTAGTGTTGTGGGCGGTGGAAGTGGTCTATCCCGGAGCAGAGGCCGGTGCAAGCCGGGAGGACCCGCCGGGTGAGGAGGGCGCGGGAGGGAGGCGGCGGGCCGTCCCGGGCGCTGCCGAGAGTGTGGCCGCCGCCTTCCGCTCGCCGCTCGCGACCTGCATGCGCGGCGTGGGCGTGGGTCACCTGTGCGCTGCCAGCGCCCTGCCCTACTGGCTGTGCGTTGGGTGCGCTGCGGATCAGTTGGGGTTCACTTTTGTCTGTTCCCAAACTTGCATTTCATTTTTTTTTCCCACCAGCACTCAATCCCGACCCTGTTCTGTCTCGCACCATGCTTTTCCACTCCTGCTCCCCCACCCCCTCTGGCCAACCTATGTCACTCCCCGCCCCTAAGAGGCTGTCACCCTACTCTGGCTCTGCTCCGCGTGCACCTCTAACCTTGACCCAAGCCTTCATCCCGACATAGGTGGCTGTTAAATTGTCCAACTCAGTAAGGAGCTTTCTAAAAGTCTAAAAGGGCTTTCCTGGTTGGGTTTGCCAGACTGTCACGTTTGCCTTCCCTTCCAGATTATGGAGGGTTCCTTCGTACAGCACAGCGTGAGGGTTCTGCAGGAACTCAACAAACAGCGTGAGAAGGGCCAGTATTGCGACGCTACGCTGGACGTGGGGGGCCTGGTGTTTAAGGCGCACTGGAGTGTTCTGGCCTGTTGTAGCCATTTCTTCCAGAGAATCTATGGCGATGGCTCAGGGGGCAGCGTTGTCCTCCCTGCAGGTTTTGCTGAGATTTTTGGCCTCCTGTTGGACTTTTTCTACACTGGTCACCTCGCCCTCACCTCAGGGAACAGGGATCAGGTACTCTTGGCAGCCAAGGAGTTGCGGGTGCCAGAGGCTGTGGAGTTATGCCAGAGCTTCCAGCCCAAAACCTCAGTGGGACAGGCACAGAATGGAGCGGGGCAGCCTACCTCCCACGATGTGAAAAGCCACCTCACAGAGCCAACAGACTTGGATGAGGAGGAAGTTTTCAGGACTCTGAGCCTGGCGCCTGTGGATCAGGAGCCCAGAGATGGTCAGCAGCCTCAGCTCAACCCTCCTGTTCAGAACAGCCCCTCCTTCCTCTGCGGGAAACTCAAGCAGGCTCTGAAGCCTTGTCCCTCAGAGGACAAGGAGTCTGAGGACTGCAAGGAGCCCCCAAGGCCCTTCGAGACTGAAGGTGCTCCGCTGCAGGGCGAGAGCAATGAGGTACTACTGTTTTCAGGGTGCTGGAGCTGGGGAGGCAAGCATGAGGGTAAATGCTGACATTTCTGGAGTAAACATTGGAAGCCAGTGGCCTCGGCTGACCTTTCTGCGGGTTGCACTTGTCCATGGTTGTCAGCCTCCTTGTGGTGGAGTGAGCACCAGGGTTACAGGTGTTCCCTGAGGGTAGTGAACCTGGCCAGCTCCCTGCTAACAGCCACTTTGCTGCGAGTCCACGGTTCTCATGTGGTCTTCCCTGGGCCCTGAAGGAAGTTTCTCTTGTGAAGGGGCCCTGGGGGGCTTGGGTTGGAACTAAAGCTGGGTCCCTGCTGACACTTAGGTGACCCTACCCCTTCCTGCTGTCTCCTGTACTACAGTGGGAAGTAGTGGTCCAAGTTGAGGACGACGGGGATTACACTTCTGAGCCTGAGACTGTGTTGACCAGGAGGAAGCCAAAAGTCATTAGAAAGCCCTGTGCTTCGGAGCCAGCCCTGGGTGCAGGTTCCTTGACAGCTGAGCCCACTGAGAGCAGAAAAGGCGGGGCTGTGCCTGTTGAATGTCCCACGTGTCATAAAAAGTTCCTCAGCAAATATTACCTAAAAGTCCACAACAGGTAAACACTGTTTTTCAATGTTTTTTTTCCATATGTCGTTCCATGTTGGGGGAAGGGTCCTGTATGCCCCTCCTCTGGGCTCTATATCAGGGGCAGATAGTGCCTGCTTGGCATGCCTCCTCTTCTTTCTGTGTTCCTGTGAATTGTGGTTTGTGGACACCTACTCAGTCTGTTCTACCCATTGTGGGCTCTGACTGTGGGCAGGCCCCTGTCCACATGAGACATAAAACACGCCTCTGGCCCTTAGCTGCAGCTGAGGTTCGACAGCAGGAATTCCTGAACTCTGGCAGTGTAGGCTTTGACAGAGGCCAGTCTGAAGGACTGAGGCTGCCTGTGTTTCTTGGGATATTAGTGTGGGGGAGTCAGTGACCTATAAAAGACCATTTGTCTAACTGCGACCCTTATAGGACTGTGAAGCTTTTTTCCTATTGTTGGTTTTGTAGAGGAGTTTGTTTGTTTTTTTGGGACAGGGTTTCTCTGTGTAGCCCTGGTTGTCCTGGAATTCACTCTTTAGACCAAGCCAGCGTCAAACTCAAAGATATAGCTTGCCTCTGCTTCCTGAGATGGATTGAAGGTATTTTAATCCCCAGGCTTTTTTTTTTTTTTTTAATGTAAGATCTTACTATGTAGACCAAGCTGGCCTTGAACTAGAGATCTACCTGTCTCTGCCTCCTAAATGCTGGTATTAAAGGCATGTCCCACCATACCTAGGACTGGTTTGGTTGGTTGGTTGTTTGGTTGCTTCCTTGCTTGTTTCCTTCCTTCCATCTTTCCTTTCTTTCTTCCTTCTTTTTTTCTCTCTGCCTCTCTCCCTTTTTCTTTCCTTCTTTCCTCTTTCTTTTCTTCTTTTTCCTTCCTTCTTTCCTTCCTTCTTTCCTTCCTTCCTTCCTTCCTTCCTTCCTTCCTTCCTTCCTTCCCTCCCTCCCTCCCTCCCTCCTTCCCTCCTTCCCTCCTTCCCTCCTTCTTTCCTTCCCTGTTTAACAGTCCTGGCTGTTTTGAAACACTCTGTGGACCAGGATGGCTTTGAACTCATAGAGATCAGCCTGCCTCTGCCTCCCAGGTGCTAGAATTAAAGGTGTGCACAACCACTCTCCTGCTCCTAGGACTGTTTTTAAAAACAAAACAAAACAGGATCTTTATATATAGTCCTGGTTGTCCTGTAGATTAGGTCACTATGTAGATTAGGCTGGCCTCCAACTCCAAGATCCACCTTCATCTTCCTCCCAAGTGCTGGGATAAAAGGCATTTCCACCACTACACCTGGCTTGTTTTGAGTTCAAATTACTTAAAATTCTGTGCCACACACCAGGAATGATGGCACACTTTTAATCCCAGCACTTGGGAGGCAGAGACAGGCTGATCTCTGAGTTCGAAACCGGCTTGGTCTAAAATGTAAGTTCCAGGACAGCAAGGACTAACCACCCCCTGCCCCCCCCCCAAAAAAAAAATCTGTGATGCAGACGCAGGTCACATCTCCAGTGCTCAGGAACTGTGCCACCCTACTGGCCTGTTAACGTTTGCTTTTGTACCAGGCCAGGTTGGGCAGAGCCATACTGTTGTCAGTAGGACATTCTGGGAAGCCGGCAGTGCTTACCTGGAGTAGGATTGAGACCTGTTTGCCATCCCTGTGGTTTGGCCTTGGGTTAAATGAGGCTGTACAGGTAGGTTCTGCCCATGCTCTGCCCATTCCTTCCTTGGTCTGTGGTTCGCTGATGTCCCTAAGAACTAGGAAGGAATGGTTTCAAGAGATGACTGTATCTAGGTGTGGTGGTATTTGTTTATAATCCCAGCACTTGGAAAGTAGAGGCAGGAGGAGGGTTGCTACAAGTTTGAGTCTGTGGAGTGAGTTTCAGGCCAGCCAGAACTACATAGGGAGACCCTGTCTCAAAAGAAAAATAGAAAATGAGGTCCTTGCAACGGTGGGGAATTAGGAGACATGGAAACTTGCAGTGAAGAGGATGAGAGTAAGTTTGGCTTTTGGACATGTGGGAGCACTCAGTGTTACTCATGGCTCTAAGGTCAGGGTTTCTTTAGTTCATTCAGCAAACTGCTTGATTTTCGACAAGACTGATAGAGCCCATTAAAGTACCAGTGAAGGTCTTTATGGCACTTGAATGACATTGCAAGGTACAGAAAGATTTGTGTCTTGTAAGAAAGGGAAGCAGTGCTATAGAACAAACCCGACAGACTGAGCCTGCAATCTTGCAAGTCCTGTGAATTCCAAGCCAGCTGGGGCTACAGAGTATGGGATCCTGTAAGGGGGAGGGGTCGGAGAGTAGGGCCCAGGAATTGGGAATTGGAGTCTACTGCATAGATAACCTGTAGTAGGGTTAGTTTCCAATAAGTGTGGCTTGGGGGATCATATTTATTAAGAAGGTGGGGGACTTCCCCACTAACCCCGTGGCTTTCAGTGCTAGGGATTGAACCCCAGGGCCTCTGCTCCTGAGCTGCATCCCCAGCCCTTTTCAGCAAGACAGGCCTGAACTTGTGATCCTTCTGCTGCAGCTTGGTATCTCACACAGGGGAAATGGGCTGGGGATATAGCTCAGTTGTGTGCTTGCCTAATGTGAGACCCTGGGTTCAATTCCCAGTGCTGGAAGTAAAAAAGATCCAGGACCAAGTAGCTGAGATTATATTACAGGCCTCTGGCATCTATCTAGACTTGGAGGAGGTAAGGATGCCATTCACTGTGGAGGGCCTTCTGGCTGGGAACAGAGCTAGCAGTAATGCCCTGAGCTAGAAGCAAGCCTGGCTGTTGTGAAGGGTGAGGGCTTGGACTGGAGTTGAGCATGGGACAGACAAGGACTTTATAAAGCGAGGACAGTGAGGGACAGGCTAATTTACCTAGGCTGCCTGTGTCCTCCTGTGTCCTCTGGGTCCTCTTGGGATGAAACAGGAAGCAGTAGAGGGCTGTGAGCCAGGAGGCAGTGAGGGTTGCCTTATCTTCTAAGGCTTGTGGACTTAATGGAAACTGCTGGAGAGATAGTTTGGAAGCCAGGAGCCAGCAGTGACTCATTGTTGCCCACGAACTGCTGCAGCGACGCTTGCTGCTATCAGTGAGACGAACAGGCTGAATCTGGCATTTACTTCACATTTACTTATGTACTTATTTATTGTGGGGGCACGTGTAGATCTGAGCGCAGCTTGTGGGGTTGGTTTCTTCCTCTCTGTGGGTCTCAAGGATTGAACTTGGCTTGGCAGCAGGTGCTTTGTCAACAGCCATATCACCTGTCCTGCGCCGTGGGTTGAAGGTAGAGCCCACAAAGAGGAGGCTCTCAGTCAGGCTGTGCTAGTCAGTTCTGAAACAGCCATTTAGAGAGGCTGGCAGAAGCAGGGCCGATTCCTGGCTCCCAGCTGGCCACTTGGACCTATGGCTGCTGTTTCTTTTCTTCCTGAGAGCCTCAGGCACCTCCTCCTTTGCAACATGGCATGGGTCCCTAGCAGGAGCTGGAGGGGCTCCTGAGTTCCAGAGAGCTGAAAGACCCCCTCAGCCTCCACACCTCTGTGGCCCCTCTTCTTGGCAGGAAACACACTGGGGAGAAACCCTTCGAGTGTCCCAAATGTGGGAAGTGTTATTTTCGCAAGGAGAACCTCCTGGAGCATGAAGCCCGGAACTGCATGAACCGCTCAGAACAGGTACTTGGGGATTGATCCGAGTATTTATGGGCAGCAGCACGTTGACATAAGAGCTGCAGTGGTCATGGATGTCATCATGTCGCATCCTAGTAACAGCCAGGACATGTGAATTCAGAAGGCACAGGGTTAGGCCCTACAGGGATACTTTGGGTTTGCCTGCCTGTCCTGGTCCAGCTCCATCTGAGGCTTTGGAGCAAGGAAAGTGTGGGGGATGGCTGCTGGGAAGGGCCACGTTGCCTGTCCCCCTACCCCAAATGGGTAGTGTTTGGCTAAACCCCATCCCTCTCTTCCCAGAGACTGGCTAGTTGCAGTTGGCAGTTGGGCCCTGTCTCTAGGCTGTCTGGAGCTGAGAAGGGTCTGGCTGTGGTGGTGTGCAGTGCTCCAGTGGTTAAGGCAGGCAGGTCACATGTCGCCCTCTCCTACCCCAGCACCCCCCGCCCCAGGCAGACACTTCCCAGCAGCGTGTGGAAGCCCCTGCAGAGGCTGCCGTCGCAGGCAGAGGCCCTCCCTGATGCTGGCCCTGCTTGCCCCTCACACTGCCAGGTCTTCACATGCTCCGTATGCCAGGAGACCTTCCGCCGGAGGACAGAGCTGCGGGTGCACATGGTGTCTCACACAGGGGAAATGCCATATAAGGTCAGGCCCAACTTGTTCCAGGGTCATGGGCTGGTGGGCTGTGCAGCCCTCTGCCTGGGGTGGTATCTGGCTCCTCTCCCTTGAAGCCTGCTTTTGTTGCCCACCCAGTGACATCACTTCTGTAGACAGGGCTGCTGTCGATAGCCTTACTTGCTCAGCATTTCTCTGGGTATGGATGGCTGAACATTGCCCCCTCTTGGAAGCCAACCTTTAGCAGATCAGGAACTGTCCTTGGGGTCTGGGCTAGGCCCCTCTTCACCATGCAGGGCACTGATGGTGCAGGCTACGCTGGAGCTAACTGGGTCTGTTTTTTTTAGTGTTCCTCATGCTCCCAGCAGTTCATGCAGAAGAAGGACTTGCAAAGCCACATGATCAAGCTGCACGGAGCCCCTAAACCCCATGCAGTAAGTATTAGGCAGGGCTGGAGCACCTGTGACTCCTGGACAGCTCAAGCCTGTCCTCACCTGGCACTGCTCCCTCTGCCTGTCTGCCCTCCTACAGTGCCCCACTTGTGCCAAGTGCTTCCTGTCTAGGACGGAACTACAGCTTCACGAGGCTTTTAAGCATCGTGGAGAGAAGCTATTTGTGTGTGAGGAGTGTGGGCATCGGGCCTCGAGCCGCAATGGGCTACAGATGCACATCAAAGCCAAGCACAGGTAGGAGTCCCTGCTCCTTGCAGTGTGGCCCTGCTGCCGTGGGAAGCAGCGTCTGCACTCATGGGGACGAGCACCTTCTTCCTGAGCCAGCACCTGCAGCCCTGACTGGTAGGGGTGAGACAGGCACGTTTGTTAGGCTAGTGGGGAGGGCCCAGGCTGAGGCAAGGCTCTGCCTCCAGGGGCTAGTTCTTTTTTATCCCTTAGCTTCCTAACTCCAGCAGCATAGATCTCTCTGCTGCTTCTGGGAATGGTGGTGGTGTCCCTTGCCTCGTGCCACTGACGCCCTCCTGCTTAGCGTGTCCCAGCTCTGACAGAGTAAATGGAAGAGGAGAGGTTCAATCAGTGACGGCCTCTGCCTTGTGTCCCCGTCTGAACAGGAATGAAAGGCCTTATGTCTGTGAGTTCTGCAGCCATGCTTTCACCCAGAAGGCCAATCTCAACATGCACCTCCGAACACACACAGGCGAGAAGCCTTTCCAGTGCCACCTCTGTGGCAAGACCTTCCGTACCCAAGGTGAGGCAGGCCCAGCCCCTCCTTGCCCCAGAGTTGAGGCAGCAGCTGAGCCCCACCTTGTCCCCCACAGCCAGTCTGGACAAGCACAACCGCACCCACACGGGTGAGAGGCCTTTCAGCTGTGAATTCTGTGAGCAGCGCTTCACTGAGAAGGGGCCCCTCCTGAGGCATGTGGCCAGTCGCCACCAGGAGGGCAGGCCCCACTTCTGCCAGATCTGTGGCAAGACCTTCAAAGGTAAAGGGCAAGCTGGGGGAGAGCAGAGGGTTGGGCTTCTCTACACAGAGATAAGGGCAACAGTGGCGTCCAGGTGTTCCTTAGAACCTTCCAGCCAGCAGAGTTGTTTTCCGTGTGCTAAGAGATGGGAGTGGAGCTGCTGTGACAGTGGAGTTGGGGGCACGGTGCCCTGGACCTGGCAGTGGTAGTCCCAGGGTTACTGTAAAGTCTGGGGTAGGGTCTGGCTGCCTCCTGTGCCTTTAGGCCTGGAAGGCCTTGTCCCCTGTCCCAGCCCTGTCCCTGCATGTGCCCTGCTCTTACGGTGTGTGGCCCATTCCTCCTGCAGCTGTGGAGCAGCTACGAGTGCATGTCAGGCGACACAAGGGTGTGAGGAAGTTCGAGTGCACGGAGTGTGGCTACAAGTTCACGAGGCAGGTAGGCCAGGCCCTGAGTCTGCTCCCCTCCTTCGCTGTGTCCCAGGCTCTGAGCTCACTCTCCCTCCCAGGCTCACCTGCGGAGGCACATGGAGATCCACGATAGAGTGGAGAACTACAATCCACGGCAGCGCAAGCTCCGAAACCTGGTCATTGAGGACGAGAAGATGGTAGTTGTGGCTCTCCAGCCACCCGCAGACATGGAGGTGGGCTCTGCAGAGGTCATTGTGGAGTCCCTGACCCAGGGTGGCCTTGCCTCCCAACTCCCTAGCCAGAGACTATGTTCAGAGGAGAGCTTTGCCAGCCCCGGCGTCCTGGAGCCCTCACTCCTCATCACAGCTGCTGTCCCTGAGGACTGTGACACATAGTCACCCGCTCCCATTTGGCCCCACTGACAAATAAACGTGACAGTCACTTGTTGAGTGGTCTGCCGCTTGGTGCTCTGCAGCTGCAGGACTGGACTGCTCTCTCCCCAGTTTCCCGTCATGGGGCCCATTCAGTCCCTGACCTGAATGCAGCTGCTTTCCCAGCTCTGGTACCCTCGGCAGAGCTGAGTACCTGGAGGGAACACAGGTGCTATCCACTTGCTGTATAGCTCCCATCCCTCACCGATAGGTAGTGTTCTGATTTCATAGGTGCAGGTGAGGTTGGACAAAATGGCCAGGGTCCATGGTTATGGCTTCATTGGCCAGAGTTCAGCCAGTCTGGTGAAGCTGAACATGGCCAGCAGCAGCAGAGCAAGCTGGCGTTGACCGGCTGCAGGCCCACAGAGACACCCATCCCTTGGAAGGCCCTATCTTCATGCAGACTTGAAAGGGAAGGGGCGTAGTGTTCCCACCTTTCAGAGCAGAGCACAGATGGGTGGTGCAGATGCCTGTCTCCTTTGTATCCATGAGCCCCCTCCCTCATTTCCCCTCCCAGACCCACCCTCCCTCCTCCTTCCCTCATCCCCTTCCCCTGGTCCACTGAAAGGGGGAGTTCTCCACCATTGTCATCTGCCCATAGCCTGTTAAGTCTCTTCAGGACTGCCTGGATCCTCTTCCTCCCTGGCCTGGTAAGGCTGCATCTCCAGGGGTGGGTGATCAAAGAGCAGTCAATGGAGTTCATGATAGAGACAGCACCCGATCCCCTCACTCAGAGATCCACATGGAGTCTGAGCTGCCAATCGGCCACATCTGAGCAGAAGGTCTAGGTCCTCTCTATGCATGGTCTTCGGTGCATCAGTCTGCAGGAGCCCTTGGGCTCAGATCCTTTAACTTTGCTGGTCTCGTGGGGCTCCTCATAAAGCTTTTCATTGCTACTTCCTGTCTGTAATTTTGCTGTTAATGAACTGTAATGAAAACATCTTGTTTTCCATGGTCCTTTCTGGGCTCCAACCTCCAGGTTGAGAACCAGGGCTCTAACGGCCCCTCCCAGTGGGCGGAGCCTGCCTTTGTGCTACATCCTGTGCCTCACCGACTGAGGTGAGAAAGTCTGAGAGGTTCTGTGAAGGCAGCTTCCTCAGAACCCGGACTCGCCAAAATCACCTCCTGAACCTGCTGACACCAGCTTCCTCACTCTGCTCCTGCCCACCAGACCTGCCTCCCCACCAGTGCTGGCCTGTGCACAAAGAAAGGATTCTCAGAAGCAGGAAGATGCTGACCTAGCTGTGGTGCTGCACACCTTTAATCCCAGCACCAGGAGGCAGAGGAGGTGGGTCTCTGTGAGTTTGAGGCCAGCCTGGTCTACAGAATTCCAGGACAGCCAGGGCTACACAGAGAAACCCTGTCTCAAAAACCAACCACACAAAAAAAGATGAAGGCTATGACACCTGGTATATAGGAAACATTTTATTTCAAAAAGTGGGTAAGTATCCTAAAACCTTAGGATGCTTGACATAGAAGCCTACAGAATAAACAAAAATAAATATACAAATCTGCCCCAGCCACTGGTGACTAAATGCTAGTCACCTAAAGAAGGAGATCTTCATTATATAAGTCTCCAAAGTCTCTGGGCATAGTGGCGCATGCCTGTAATCCCAATCCCAGCACTCTGGGATGCAGAGGTGGGTGTATCTTGTGAGTTCGAGGCCAGCCTGGTCTACAAAGTGAGCCCAGGATAGCCAAGGCTTCACAGAGAAACACTGTCTCTTAAAAAAAAAAGTCTCTGAAGTCATAAATATAAGAAATCCCTTACAGATCAGCATCAAAAATCAGGCACAGAACTTTTCATAACTTAATTTTGTCCTGACATATAAAAGCTTTATACATGTGACAAGGGACAGTCCCATCCCTAGGTGTCCCAGCTTCAATCCCTGTTAGTGTAGAGACGTGTTAAATGTTAGGGTCGGGCCCAGAGCCCATGGCACAAGTGGAGCTCAGGGAGAAATGGCCCACAGTGAGTGCCTACTCTGCTAGTCTTCATGGGGTCCTAGAAACCTGAGTATTTCTGGAGCAAGGCGAGCAGAAGGTCCTATGCAAATGTGCACTATAACGCAGTAACTACTGCAGGTCACAGGAGTACAGCGATACAGCTCTTCCTCTGTCCCAAAAGGACAGGGCAGCCTGCTGTCGCCTGTACCGAACTTCATACCTGATTCACAGGCCCCCACCCTGCTGTGCCAAGGCACCTCACAGAACACTCAGCGCCTCTGAGTGGTCTTGGGAGGCAGCTCTTTAAGGCTCACTGCAAGAGTGTACTTGGCCAAGAGGGAGGAGAGGCCCCGGAGGGATGGGCTGGCAGCACCTGGGTCAAAACATGCCATAGCCACTCAGAGGTGGCCAGAGGCCACTGGGTACTGACGGGTCCCAGCCCCAAAACCCATGAAACCACTCAAAGGCACACAGAAACCCAGGGATCCCCTAAGCTGTGGTTCAGATACTCTGGCTCTCATGCTCCTGGGCCTAAAATCCTAGGAATCCTGGTTTTCCACACAATGGCAGAGAAATTCTAGCAATGATGGCTTGTACATCTTGTCAGACAAAACCAACTTGTGTCTTACTGCTACCAACTTTCTGCTTCTCCAGGTCAAACCACAAGCATTTCAAACCTAAAGCCCAGGGCTGGGGCTACCCCACTCGGCTTTCTTTAGAAGCAGGAGTCTCTACTCCCAGGCCCAGCATCTGCCCACTGGGCCAACTGTCAGATTCCAAAGGAGGGGCCACAGCAAGCCAGTGTTGTGAGCACTGGTCATCTCCTGTAGGCCTGGGAAAGAGCCCCAGGGAGGGCCTTCTTCCCAGGTGAGAACATGTACCACAGAAACAGACTCCTTCAGGCTCACACTGTGGATTAGTAGCTCAGCTCAGGACTCAACTCCTGAAGGCCCACCCTGTTTGGTGGGGTGGGAAGCTGGGTGGGCTGACACCCCTCTACCTGCAGCACTGGCTACAGGGATCTTTGGTACCAAATGTGGAGTTTAGCACTCTGTTGCAGCCTTTGTCTTCCTGCATCCCCAATGCTCTGGGACAGGCTACTTTCTGACTATCACAGGGAACCTTCCTCTTTGCTCTGGGCGGAAGCAGGCCCAGGAGGTGGCAGCAAGGAGAGGCACATCGCATGGTGAGTTGGATGCTGTAAGCTGGAGGTAACTTCTGAAGGCTGAGATACTCAATGGTGGAGAAGCCACGGGTTCTTGACCACATAAGCAGTCACCACCAGCTTTGTCCCAGGAAGCTGTGGCATAGGCTCCGAATGCACAGAAACCTTCACACGATGCATCTAGGGGCTCACTCAGCACCCATGCGCCACTGCTCTGCTTGGTGACCCATCCTGGCCTCTGCAGGCGCCAGGCCCCTTGCACCAAGGCCCTCCCCTGGGCCAGGCCTGGGCTAGTGTAGCTCCTCAGGGTTCTGTGGCAGCCTGTGGTGGCCTGCATCCACGTCATTGCTGCCACTGTTCAGCTCAAAGCCACGGCCCCCTGCTGGTGTCTGTGGCATGAACTGGCGGAAGATGCTCACGCTGCCATGCCAGAAGGTGGGCTCTGGAAGCCGCCCTACCACACTCCATGCCCGGGTCTCCGGGTCATATGCCTCCACCACATCCGAGAGTTCAAAGGTATTGTCATATCCCCCAGAGACATAGAGCTTGCCTCCCAGGACGGCCAGGCTGCCCCCGACATGGACCTGCGGATCAAGGTGGAGGAGTGAGGGAGGCAGGCAGCGGTGGCAGGGCAGACCCCGCCCCGACTGCTCCAGTAACTTCCAGGGAACAGCCCAGCGTTGAGAACCCTGCTGAGGCAGCTTTGTAGGGAGTGTAGACAGAGTAGGCCAGTGCCTTCCTGTTCCCTAAGCAGAAGATAGGGCTCCCTATGTGGTCAGCATGGTCTCCAGGTTTGAGGCCCAACAGCACCTCGGCATCAGCCCTCTAGGGCAGACTTGTCCATTCTTTCCACCTTACAGATAGGGGAAAGTTTGCTGGTTCAGCCATCAGTAACAGCTGGAAATTGACCCTGGTGGGACCCTCAAAGCCATCCAAGAATTATCACACCATCAGCCTTAGTGGTAGACCTTTCTTCTCAGCAAGCAGAGACAGGAGACCTTGACCACACACTAGCAGCTGTGAGGGCGCCCCTGCTCATAGCACACAGCAGTCAAGAAATGTATTCCCAAGGTCAATTCCTCAGGAAGAGACCTGTCTGAGCCCGTTCCCTCCAGCCACAGCGGCTGCTGGAGTTCACACAAGCACCCCAGCCCTGGGGCCTTTCTGTGGAAGCTCATCTGATTCCTCCCCTCCTCTGCTCCAAGGCTCACAGTAAGGGTGCTGACCACTGGCCAAGTCCTCAGACCCTATTTAATACCTGCTGTTGCCAAGTTCCAGAGAGGATCACAGAAGCCTTCCATTAACTCAGGGAGCATCTGCAAAGGACTTAAAAGAGGCCCACCTACCATGACTGTCTCCCGAAAAATCTAATGACAGCTCAGTTGCAAAAGCAGGGCTAGCCTGAGTTTACAAACGCTGCCACACCTGCAGATTTACCTGATTCATGGACGGGATCTTGTCCCATTCGTTCTCTGTGGGGTTGTACACGTCCACCTCGGCAGAGTCGTCCCTGTGGAGGGACAGACAGACATAACCGTGGCTGTGAGGGCCAGAGTCCTCAACGCTGCTGACTCTTCCCGTGAACTGGGTCTTGATTTCTAGTCCAGGCTGGCTTTGAACCCACTGAGCATTCCTGTGTTCTCCAAAGAGCCACAGCTGGAAGGGGGTGGGCTGGACAGGGCTACCTGTCTCCTCTCAAGGCTGCTATCTCCCAGCCAAAGAGTCAACACCTTTGCCTTTTTTAGAAACCACCATGGAGCCATTGCATAGGAGGCCCAGGACGAAGGCTCCTTTTACTGGTCACTGATAATAATGATGCTATGGCCGTTGTAGAGCACTATGTCCCTGACAGGGAGGGCTATCAAGATGCAGGCAGCACTCTGCGCACGGTGTTACATGTTCACAAAACATTGCCTCCCTTTATCCGGTGTTTAGGTGGGGCTGAGGTGGCTTCCTGTGTGGATGGCACATAAGCAAACCTCACACTGGGCAGAACCCTCCCACTTCCACTTGGCAGGCTAGCAGTCAATACTGACTCCTGTCCAGGAGAGAAAAGCCAGCAGGTGTCAGGACCCAGAGCAGCACAGGGAACATCCTGCCCTACAGCCTTAGGACAGCGAGGGCGGTCTCAGAGGTACTGGGCCAGGGCCACTGCGGCCACTGTGGAGGGGCTGAAGCAAAGACCTGGCACTCTTCAAAGTGGTATTTATAGCCAGCCCCTCCCCCTTCCTGAAGACAGCACAGGAGGTGGGGAGAGCCAGCAAGGGCCAGGCAGTTTTATAACAGCACCCAGGAAGGTTCCAGGGCCTTCTCAAAGCAGAGCTTCAACTCCTGGTATTTAAAGACACAGGCCCCTCAGCCACTAAGATGATAAACAAAACACCTGTGTCCCTTTAGACTCCTCAGCATGCACCCTGAAGAGAGGCTGCCTCCTGTTTGAGGAGGGGGTTGGGCAGGCAAAGGTCAGTGCTGCTCAGCCAAAGAAAATGCAGGCCCAGAAGCAGAGGGCACACACCTTTGGGCTCCCAGATCAAAGGGGAGAGAGGGCAATGTCATTCATTCCCTTCTTCCCTCCCTCCCAGCCCACAGCTTCAGGAAAGGGATCAGTACACACAAGGCACACAAGCAATCCAATTCATTACCCTCCCAGATACCCAGCAGCCGGTCAGTCAAGGTGCATTTGGCTGTGACCAGAGAGGTCATCAGATCCTGTAGCTGGGGCTAGAGTAGAGCCATGCATGTGCCAGACCCTGATCGGTGGATGCACGGTAAGCCACCGGCTGCTTAGCTAGGACTGCCAAGACTCCACTATCCCCGAGGTGGCTTCATTAAGGAAAGCTAAAGCTCCCACTGAAACAGCGTAAGAGGCGGACAAGCCGTAGCTCTGATCCCAGCCTGCCCCCACCTCTGGGCCCCATTTATGAAATGAGCGGCACAGAGATGCTGCCAAGCCAGAGATAGTGCAGCGTGGGCTCACCTGACGAAGTACATGAGTCCATTCAGAGTCACAGTCTTGGGTGCAAAGGACCAGGGTGGGAGCTGGCCACAGTCCACCAGCGACCACAGGTCCGTGTCAGGGTCATAGCACTGTATCACCATGGTCTCCTTGCCTGCCAGGGAGCCAATGGCGTAGAGCCGGCCTCGGCAGGCAGTAGTGGAACAGTTGTCCATGGGGTAGGTCATAGGCCGCAGGGCCTCCCAGGAATCGCTGGCATGGTCATAGCGCTCTGTGCTGTCGGCTGCCACCACATACAGTAGCCCGTCCAGTACAGATGAGCTGTGGTACTCTCGGGCCTTGAGCATAGGTGCCACCTCCGTCCACTCGTTCACACTTGAGTTGTATCTCCACACGCAGTCATAGAGCCGGGAGCCATCAGACCCACCTGCCAGGGCACACAAAGGGCAGATGATCAGCCCACGCGCCCACGCGAGGTGAGTCACCCACCTGTGCCTTCCTCGACTTCCGGGTTGGCCTCTCCCTGCAGAGGAATTAGCCTCACCCCCGTCACCCAAAATACATCTGTCATCTTCTGAGGGCCTCGCCAAGCTGTCACTGAGGCAGTACACAGGCCCACTAACTGCTGTCAAACCGAGGACAAAAGACCCTGCTCTCAAAAGTGCTACCCTACAGCGGCAGCTAGGCTGGCAGAGCGCTTACCACGGCACGCATCCAGCCCGGGCTTCCTCTCCCGATGGCAGCAGATCTGTAATCCCAGCACTCAGTTCTCAGGAGTTCTAGTTACCCTGGCCTACATGACACTCCAGCCCAAGAAACAAAATTCAGGCAGAGAGCACTGACGACCCCTTCAGAGGACCTGGCTTCAACTCCCAGCACCCATGTGGCAGCTCACAACTATCCATGACTTGAGTCCTAGGGGATCTGATGGTGTCTTCTGGCTTCTGTGGGCACCTAGGTGTGAACCAGGTTTGTAGACTACATGCTGGCAAAACACCCATAAACATATAATCCCACCCAACACCACCATACTCTTTTTTTTTTTTTTTTTTTTTAAATCAAGACAGGGTTTCTCTGTAGCCTTAGTTGTCCTGGAATTAGCTCTGTAGACCAGGCTGGCCCCAGCCTCACAGTGACTGCCTGCCTCTGCCTCCCTGAGTGCCGGGATTAAAGGCGTGCACCACAGTGACACTTCTCAGTTAACTCAGAACACCCATGCTTGGGTCCGGGCACCTCTTCGAGACACCCATGTTCTAGACACCAAACATGGGACTTGGCCACCAAATCCTAGACTTTCTGGACACTTTCAAACCAAAGCTGCGCCAGGCCAAGAATGCTCCAGCGCCCTCCATCTTTGGGGCTGTTTTGACTTCACTGGAGGATACAGGAGCATGGTCCACTTCAAACTCTTATCAAGGTATATACAAGTATGACGGCCAGTGACTTTTGTATGTGTCAACAAAAGTTTAAAATACAAGCCCATTCAGGAGGCAGAGGCAAGGATAGCTTTGTGAGTTCAAGGCCAGCTTGGTCTATAGAGCCAGTTCCAGGACAGCCAAAGCTACAAAGAGAAACCCTGTCTTGAACCACCTCCCCACGGCTCCCCCCCTCCCCCCCAAAAAAAAAGAGTATAAAGTATGTCTAAGACTACAAAACTCTCGTGCTATCAGGAGACTCCAGTAATCCTGGGGGTTGTCCCTGCTGGCGCCCTGAACAGAGACATTCTGTCTGTGCCTCAGCTTTTGAGGGAGGAGCATCTGAGGCCTCTTTGGTCTTTTCCAGGGACGCTGAAGCAGCTGAGGTGGCTTCCTGACCCTCAGGAAAATCCCCTACCAGCAGCTGAATGGGAGGACTGAGCCACCTGCCTAACCCTGATTAGCTGTTCAGCTGTGACATTTACCCAAGGCGAGCCTGGCAGTTCTGGGAAGGCATTCTCTGCTCAAAATCACCAGCCAGACTTCAGAGGAGATGGGGGCAGGGCGGCCAACCACACGGGGTCAGGCTCAGGGTGTTAAAGAGGGCTATGTTCTGGAAGGGTCCAGCAGGACGAATTTAGGGCGGCAGGTCAGGACCGCTGAGGCCAGAGCTGACCCTGACCCTCTTCTGCTCAGAGACCCACAGGCACGCCACAGCAAGATGACAGTGGGCTTTGTGTGGAATGTACCACGCTGGGCACACCCCTGACAATCCAGCCTCATGCCTGCCAGCCTGATAACAGGGCCACAGGCCTCAGTGGTCTTTCCTTATATAGCACTTCCAGAGGCCATCCCTGTCGGTCTGAAGTGGGGTAGCCTCCCTCCGGTTTGATCAGGGATTCATCCTTAGTGAAAAACGTGGGAGAAGCCCAGCACTGGGGCAGTCTGGGGACCGCCTACCATGACTCGGCAGGGTTTTGGGTGTTCAGCCAAGTAACTGGAAGAAAATCTCTCAACATGTGACCATGTTTACAGCCGTAGACTAGCACAGCCTAAGCACCACGTGATGCACAGTGCCCCGCTTAGGTGCGGGCTCCGAGAAACCTTGTCACTGGTGACAAAGCCAGTGAGTCAGGAAGCCCCTGTGGCTTAGCAGGGCGGGAGAAACGTCCCTGCTTTGGGGAGGGAGAGATGCCTCACCAGGCGCCAGGCTGCATCCTGTCCCCGCATTCCTTGGGGATTAAAAGAAAGCACCCATTGTACCAGGTCAATGCCCGGTCTTTTCCAAACCAAAAAGGGGGAGGCACCTCCGGGGCAAGGAGTTGGCTAAGCAAGACAGGCTGTGTACCACAGAGGGCACAGAGATCCACAAAGCAGCTATGTCTCTGCTCTCTCTTCGAGCTTGAAAGCAAATAGAGAAACTAACGCAGTCGCCCTGCCAAGAGCTAGGTCGGGCCCTAGAATTCCAGGTCCTGAGTGTATTTCCTGGAAATGCCCCCGCACACTCACCCGTCACGTAGATGTCGTTGCCCAGCGCCACGATACTGTAGCCCCCTCCTAAGTGGTCGGGGAACTCGGCCAGGTAGCGCCACTGGCCCGTCTGCGGATTGTAGCAGTCGACCGTTACCAGCTCGTCGCAGTCCTGGTCGCAGCCTCCCACCAGCACCAGGATCTCCGCCAGGCCGGTGGATGGGCGCGGACGCATGCGGGGACAGGGCCCGCGGTCGTGCCGGTCGTAGCGCGCCGCCTGGAAGTCGCGGGCCTCGCGCAGCAGACGCAGGCAAGGCGGGCAGCGCGCCACCAGCGGCTCGGCCTCTACGTGTGCCAGCAGGTAGAAGCGGCGCACGAAGGGCAGGCGCACAGCCTCCAGCAACTGCGGCCAGTGCGCCGCCCGGCGCGGCGGGTCCGCGCGCACCCAGCGCAGCGCCAGCTGGTAGGCCGCCTCCTCTTTGGGCACGCACAGCCCGTCGTCGCGCAGGTAGCGCAGCAGGCGCGCCAGCGGCAGCCTCTCCAGCTGCTCGGCGCCCAGTTCGCCCACGTGGCGCAGGATGAAGCGCTGCGCCGCGCTCGCTAGCCCAGAGCAGCTGAAGGCCTCGGCGAAGTCCTGCATGTCCAGGCAGTTGGCCAGGTCGAGCTGCTGCTGCAGGAAGGCGCCGCACGCCTCCTTCACGGCGGGGAACTGCAGCAGGTCCGCGGCGCGCAGCAGCGGCTCGGCGTTGTCGCCACTCACGGCCACCCGGCCGGTGTAGCTGAAGTCCAGGAGCAGCTGCAGCATGTCGGGCGGCACCCCGTGCAGGCGCACGCGCTCGGCGCGGCTCTCGCGCAGCTGGCCCGCGAACATGGCGCGGAAGTAGGGGCTAGCGGCCGCCAGCACAGCGCGGTGCGCGGGGAAGTCGCGGCCGCCCGCCGCCTCCAGGGTCACGTCCAGGAACTTGCGCTCAGCGCGCAGCTGGCTCAAGCCGCGCAGCAGGCTCAGGGCGTGCGCGGGATCGGAGAAGGGCAGCACGGCCAAGGGCGCCGGCCGCTCCATGACGCGGGGCTGCTGGGCACGGGGACGCCCCGGCGCGCGGGGCACCGCCTCTATAAATACGCAGGCCGGCCCAGGCCTCCGCGGGCGGGGTCTGTGGGGGCGGGGCGATGCCGGCCACGCCCACTTAACCCGTCTGTCTCCAGCGCTATAGGCTGAGTCACCGCCGCCTCCGCCGTTCCCTTTCCGCCCTTCCGGGGCTCCCAACCGCCTCCAGCTGACGCTCAGCTGGGAACGGCCGGTGAGGGCTAACACTCCAACACAGCGGTTTACCCAGCGAGGCTCCGGGAGGCGAGATCGGCGCCCAAAGCCGCAGTCACTCCTTTGGTCCCAGATTCCCTAGTGCCCTAGTGCGTTCCAGTAAACCTCAGGACATCTCAATGCGATGACTGTTTTAGTTTCTCTGCCTTCAGCGCAACTAAAGTACTCCACCCCATCGGCTTTCAAACAGTGGTATTTTCAAAATTCAGCACCAAAGCACGAACGAGTGTAAGGGTTTTCATGGTCTTCTTTTTTTTTAATTTTTGGTGCGTTTAAGCGAAACCAGGCCAGATTCCAGGAACGCGCTCCACTGTGTTCATGTCTAAGTGTCACGCGCATTAGCAGACAAGTTTAGTCAGCCTGGAAGTTGTAGCTTTACTTTCCGAGTCAGGAAACTCGCAAGGGGTTGGGGCAGGTCGGCTGGGGCTCAGGCTTTCGGGTGGCCAAATGGCTTCAGCTGAGGTCCGTCCGGGGAGCGCCTTAAAAAAGCTGGGGAGAGAGCCATTCAGCAGTCACAGTTGCTTGAGTGGTGATGCCATGGGGACTATTTGTTTGTCTGTATGTACGCAAACACAACTCAGAAAAGGAGCCCCACTTGGAAGCCATATTTGGGTTTTGCTTTGCTTAGTTTCAGGCAAGTGTAGAAAGAAAAATATGGGTGTTTGATAGTTAACTGTCCCCCACCTCATTTTTTGAAAGCATTCTAGCCTCAGACCCTGCCCACTGTACCGCAAGGGACGCCAAGGGTCCTCTGTCATTCCTGGCTCCTAGGTTGACACAGTCTTGGCAGGAAACATTTAGCTTTATTCCATTTCTAAAACATTTCAAGCGTTCTCTTCCACTCAAGGAACCTCACCGCCTTTTCCCTGAAAATGCATCTGGTCTAAATTTCAGGGTCAGCATGGGAAGCACAGGTTCTAAGGAAGAAAACATGCAGGTACCCAGGCAACTGCCTGTTGCCCATAGAAGGACTGTTCACACAGCTCTTAAAGGCAGGGCAGCATTCCTGGGCCCAGGAGCCTGGCCAATAGCTTACACACAGCCCTTCTGACAGTCTGAGCAGCCAGGACGGGGATGCTGGTAGAGGAAAGTACTACAGTCCCTTGGAGTCGATTCCACCCAGCATGAAGCCCAAGGATTAAGCGCTATAACTGAGAACTGAGTGTGGATTTTGTTTGTGCTGGAGATGGAATTCAGGGCCTCAGGCACACAAGGAAAGCTCTTTATCAATTCCCTGCTTTCTGCTCCCCACACTCCCAACATCAAAGTGTTTTTGTACACCGTGTGTCAGCCCCATAACTCCTGAAGAGTGATTCTGTAGTTATTTACTGAGATGGGAAAAGATGCATCTGTGCATAACTACTTCTGTCAAGTCAGATTGCACGTGGAAGGACCCAATTACACAAATCACCCAGTGGGATTCTTAGGTGTTTCTCTGGCTTGATCCCAGGGCCTGGCTCCTGCTTCATCAGCAGCCTTTAGATTTCGGTTTTCTTTTGAACTTTTTTGGTGGTTTTGTTTCTGTGTAGGATATGGGTGCAGGCACAGGAATGCCGCTGTGTTTGAATAGGTCAGAGGACAGTAGCCTCAAGTGTTGACCCTTGACTGCCTGGATCCCAAGACATCCACCTGCTTCTGCCTCCCGAGTGCTGGGATTAAAGGTCTGGGTAACCAAAACTGCGGGCCTCCTACCTTGCTTAGGACAGAGTCTTTTATTTTTTCACCATATAAACCAGAGTAGGTGGACTTTAAACTTGCAGGGATTCACCTGTCTCCATCTCTCAGCAGGGAGGAGTGCTGGTATTACAGAGGTTGGAGTGGATTCTGGGAATTTAATGAGGGTGAGGGGGTAGGGAATGATGCTTTTTTCCTTTTCTTTTGAAAAACCCTGGTTGAGGGTTTCTCTGTATAGCTCTGGCTGTCCTAGAACTAGCTCTGTAGACCAGGCTGGCCTTGAACTCATAGAGATCCACCTGTCTCTGCCTCCTGAGCTGGGATTTAAAGGTTTGTGCCACCACTCCCTTCAGGCCTCAGGCCCCCCATTCTAGCATAACAATTACTTTCACCTCCTGAGCCATCTCCCCAACTCTGATTTTAGGGATTCTGAGATGGGTAATTAAGGCTAGCCCCGAACTCACTATGTAGCCCAGTCTGGCTTAGAACTGGTGATCTGCCTTAGCTTCCCACGAGCTGGGATTGTAGACATGTGCCCATCCTGTATTCTTTCTTCAAGATGCAGTATTTTTTTTTACTGAAAGAAAATGCAGGCAAGTAAAAACAAGACCTAGAGGAGGGATGGAGAGGGCTACAGCTGGGATACAAAGTAAGTACACTGTAATAAATGATAAATAAAAAATAAAAAAGATTTTAAAAACAAAAACGAAACACCTGGGTAGGGGGTCTAGCTCTGTGGTAGAACAGTTGCCTTGCATGCATGAGGCCCTGGCTTCAATTCCTAGTACCACACAAACATAAACAATACAAAATGATAATAATAATTAAGCTGGGCCAGGCTTTTAATCCCAATACCTGGGAGGCAGAAAAGGGTAGATCTCTGTTGAGTTCCAGGTCAATCATGGCAAGTTCCAGGACAGGTATCCCTGTCTCAAAACAGTTATTTACAGCCGCCACTAATCTCTCTGCCTACTGGCTTAGCTCCAGACCAGTGGCCCACAGATTCCTCTTGGTTCTTGCCATCTTCGCTGGATAAGTGTAGCATTAGCCCCCATCAAAGAGGCTTCCCTTTACAGCAAATGGAGACTCAGAAAACCACAACTGGACACAATACAGAGTCCAGCCCCAATGGATACATCTACAGCACAGCTCCTACATCTATATGACTCAGGGAACATCCTAGAAGAGGCAGCAGAAAGATTTTAAGAGCCAGAATACCAGGAAATCAGCTGTCAAACAGTCTCTCCTAGAAATGGCTACATGAGGCTGAAACAATGAAGATAATAATGTGGACATGGAAGGGAATAATCAATCTCATGGTCCCAGCCCTAGACAAAGAAATACAGGCAGACGATGATGGCTTAGAGTTAGTCCTTCCAGTGGATGGGTCCCCTACCTGGCTGTCCAGTACAAAGCGGTCAACCCCTAAAACCATATATACACAATCAACAAAGAGACTCAGCAGGTTAGATGTATATATTTTTGCATAAACATACACATTCATAATAGTAATAACAGAGGAAGAAGAGACTATCAATTTGAGAGTTGGAGGAAGGGGACCTGGTGGGGGCTGGAGGGAGGAAAGGGAAAGTGGTGTAATTATACACTCATTAACAATGCATACAAATTAAAATGGTAAGTTCTTTACATTTTGCTATTAAATATGCACAATTATGTAAACTGTATTGGACTTTTTTGTTTACACTGACCAGATTTGTTCATTTTATATGGGTGTTTTGCCTTCGTGCCTTTCTGTGCACTACATGCTCACTGGGTGCTTGCCGTGTCAGAAGAGACCATCAGATACCCTGGTTGCCAGCCATCATGTGGGTGGTGCTGGGAGTCAAATCTGGCTTAGCAGTCGGTGTTTTCACCTGCTGAGCCACCTCTCCAGGCCCTCACCCTGAGTTCTGAGGCCAGCTTGGGCTGTACAGTGAGACAAACACACAAAGCTTCTCAATTTTCTTTTCTGAAATGCAATGCTAGGAACTGGGCTCCAGGCCTTACTCACATTTAGCTAGAGGAGCACCCTACCTCTGAGCTGAGGGACGGTGAGAAGGTAGGAGCACTTGTTGCTCTTGTGGAAGACCCACATGATGGTTCACAACTGTCTATAACTCCGACCCCAGGGGACCTTATGTCCTCTTCTGACCTCCAAGGGTACCAGGCATGCACACAGTGCAGAATCAGACAGACACACACAAACACACCCTCATAAAAAATAATAAATTAAACCTTTTTAATTAAAAAAAAAATCAAGCTCATTATGATACCATCAACCCAACAGGCAGGCATTTGAGATCACCCGAAAGTCAGTGTAGGAATGTGGTGAGAATAGAAAGGCCCAGATTTAGACCTATCAGCTGTGTGTGGAATTTGCACTGGCCTACCAACCCTGGCAGCTAGCTGGCTCCTCCTCCTCCTTGGGAGTCTCAAGGGCTCAACATGGGAATGTGAGACACTATGCCATGCAGATGACAATGCCATCTGCATAGTGAGACTGAATTTGAGGGAAGTTTGGGCTGCACTAAGGTGATCTAGACCCCTTGGGTTTCCCAGCACCCTGGTGTGGTACAGGCTCCTATCTGAGGAGGGAGATGTTAAACTGTGTTAAACTGTCAGATAAGCAGGACTTTATATATGTTACACTTCATGAAAATTCTGCTTCACTTCATCTAAGAGAGAAAAGGGGGCTGGGATGTATGGTTCAGTGGGTAGAATGGTTGCTCAGCACCACGGGCACTAGGTCCAACCCCCCAAATTCTGGGGGCAAATTATAAACCACAACTGGACACAATACAGAGTCCAGCCCCAATGGATACATCTACAGCACAGCTCCTACATCTATATGACTGGCTGGAACTTGCTATTGTAGATCAGGCTACCACAGAGATCTGCCTCCCTCTGCCTGCCAAGTGCTGAGACTAAAGGCGTGTCACTGTATCTAGTCCAAGTAACTTGGTTGTGATCTGTTTAAATAAAAACAAAACAAAAAACCGAACCAACCGACCAACCAACCAACAAGGCCTGTGTGGTGATGGCCCAGGGTAAGATGCTTGTTACCACACCTGATATCAGACCTGGGTTTAATCCTTGGAACACACACTGTGGAAAGAGAGAGCCAGCTCAAACAAGTCCTCTTCTCCCCATCCTTACCCTGACATTCAAGCCCACCCACACGACAGAAGTACAAAAAATTAAATTAAAAGACTCCTTGCACAGGGTGTGGTGGCACAGGCCTGCAATTTCAACACTCGGGGCAGGTGGCGGTGCACACCTTTAATGCCAGCTTTCTTCTTCTTCTTTTTGCTGCTCAGTGGTTAAGAGCACTGGCTGCCCTGTCAGGCCCCCGGCTTGATTATGAGCACCCATGTGGCAGCTCAGGGTTCAGCCTTTTCTTACTCCAGCTTCAGGTGATCTGATGCTCTCTTCTGGCCTCCAGATGCTCTAAGCACACATGTGGTGCACAGATAAATACAGACACATCTGTAAATACACATACAAAAAGAAAGATTAAAAATTTCATTTTATGTGTTTATGCACATTGTTGTGAGTCCCGGGAGGCCAGAAGAGAACTAGCAGAACCCCTGGAGCTGGAATTACAGGTGCTGTGAGCTACCTGATGTGGGTGCTTTGAACTGCACTCTGGCCCTAGCATTGTCTTTGTGATCAACCAGCATGAACCTGACATAAGATGTGGCCTTTGTTTCCGCCTGCCCACTGCTGCTGATACGGTCTCTAAGCAATGATAAGATTATTCACTCACATGTGCTCCTGCTCTACCTCAGGGCCTACAAGCTGAAAACAGTGTGATTCTGAGGACTCTACACACACAACCTCCCAACAAGGAGGGCAGGAGGCTTCCTAAGAACATGCGTTATCTGGAGCAAATGAGATGGCATCAGATAACCACTCTGGGCAGAATAAGCCTCTGGTGAAACTCGCATCCACACTCCAACTGCACAGTGAAAACGAGCAGAGCGTATTCCTCAAATTTCCCCAAGTGAAGGTAGCAGAGCGAGTAAGATTTAGGTAGGGGAGGCTATATTTGGAAACTTGATTAAAATAACCACATTCTCAACTTACTTACTGGGAAACCATGGTATTCTTAGTATTTTTAACTTGTCACAACTTGAGCTAATGTTGGGTTTCTTCCCTCCTCTTTCATGAGCGATCACAACTGAGAGTCAGCATTCAGCACACACACACTTTTTTTCCCCCTAGCAGAAAACATAAAATGGTGACTCCCAGGATCTGGGGACCGTGACTAACGCTGCTCCTTAGGGAGGGCTAGGAGTAGAGCAGCACACCTGAAAACCAGGCCTGGAAAAAAGTGGACTGTTTCCCAGGGAGAGTGAGCCTTTACCACAGCTGCAAACTATGAGGCAGTTTGGGTTAAAACACTCTAACTGATTTTACTCAGGGAGCAGATGAGCACCATTGCTGTGCTTTCGGAGGACCAGGGTTAGGCTTCCAGAAACTATAGGACTGACGCCCTCTTCTGACTTCCACGGACATTGCACATAGATGGCGCAGATGTCCAGGCAGGCTAACAGAACAAAATAAAAAACTTAATAAAGGGGCTGGAGAGATGGCTCAGAGGTTAAGAGCACTCGATGTTCTTCCAATAGGTCCTGAGTTCAATTCCCAGCAACCACATGGTGGCTCATAACCATCTATAGTGAGATATGGTGTGCAGGCAGAATGTTGTATAAATAATAAATAAATCTTAAAAAAAAAAACCTAATAAAAATAAATTTTAGCCGGGTGTGGTGTCACATGCCTTTAATCCCAGCATGGGGGAAGCAGAGGCAGGTGGATCTATGTGAGTTCAAGGCCAGCCTGGTCTACAAAGTGAGTTCAGGCTAGTCAGGGCTGTTACACAGAGAAACCCAGTGCTGTTAAGTACACTTGAGTGCAAATGCCAAAGGAGCCAAGAAGCACTGGTGTCCTGTAGAGGTGGAGCCACTTGATAGGGGTGCTAGGAACAGAACTCTCCTTTGCAAGACAGTATGAGCACTTAACCACAGAGCCATCTTTTCAGCCCCCTCCCTCTTAAAGGCTTTATAGTCTTTTATGTATCTCTTGTGCAGGCGTGCATGTGCATTTGTGTGTGTATCCTGACTCAGGTCTTAAGAACAGAACTTGAGCCCTCATAACAGGAGTCCTTACTCTTGACCATGGTGCCAAAGATAACGTGGCTTTGAAAAAACTCAGGCAGTTTTTTGGTTATGAGCCTAGGACCTCATCGCACACACACTAGGCAAGTGTCTTACCATGGGCCTATATTTCCGGCTAGGGAAAGCAAGAGTTTTGAGACAAAATTTTCCTTTGTAATTCAGGCTGGTCTGGAACCATGGAAATTCTGCCTGGGCCTTCTGAGTGCTAGTACTCAAGGGAGCTACCAGACCAGCTGAGGATCGTTATTTATCTATGTCTTCCCCCTGATCCCCCAAAGACAAAGTTTCTCAGTATAATCCTGGCTGTCCTGAAACTCTCTCTACGGACAGACTGGTTTCGAATTTAAGAGACCTGTCTGCCTCTGCCTCCTGAGTGCTGGGATTAAAGGCGTGTGCCACCACCGCTCTATACTGATTTTTAAGCAGGGCTGAGGACAAATCAAGGGCTTTCTGAATGCTAGACTGCCACTGAAGAGCCAACAACTTCCTGTTTATCTTTGGGAGGGGGCCCGAAACAGCCTAGGTATCTATGTAGTCCACGAGGTCTCAGAGCTCTGCACACTGCCCAGGCTCAGCTTCCCAGGTGCTGGAATTATGGCCTTGAGCAACCACACCTGGACTCAACTTTAAAAACTTTTAGGTTTGTGTGGGAGTGTTTTGCTTGCATGTATATTTGTGCCTCAGGTTCGTGCCTATGCTCATGGAGGTCAAAAGAGCACACAGGATCTAATGGAGCTGGAGTTATAGACGCCAAGAATTGAACCCAGGTGCTCTGTACAAGTCACAAGTGCTCTTAACCACTGGGCCACCTCTCCAGCTCCTGGTTCCTATTTTTAAAAGATTTTATTACCATTTATTTTTACTTTATTATTTTATTATTTGTTTCTTACCGAGAGACAGTGCCTGCCTCTTCCCCCAATTGCTGGGCTTAAAGGCATGCAACACTAAGCCCCACTGCTGGAGTGATGTTTTGTATACCTGTAAACTGTCTGTATTATTCAGATGCTGGTTTCTGCACCAGCAGAGCACTGAGCACACACCTGACTTTGATATTGTTAAGGATCTCTTGCCCCAGTATTTTGTAAACACTGTTCTCATCACCTTCTGATTAAATAAAGAGCTGAACAGCAATAAGAGGGAGGGTACCAGGTGAGGACTAGAAGGGGGGGGGAGTCGCCACCATACATGGATGAAAGGATGAAGAAGCAGGTGCCAGGCCAAGTGTAAGATGAACAGGTAAGAGGCCATGTGGTGGGAGGTAGGCCAAGCCAGTATTGTTGTGTTAGAATAACCAAGAATCTGCTTTAGCAACACTGCCTAAAGCTTTAACAATCTTTGTGTCATCATTCCATCTAATGGAGGTCTCAAAGAAACTCCAGTTATATCCCATTACTTATATTTCTACTTTAAAATATGTGCATATGGGAGGGGGAGCGGCTAGAGAGGTTAAGAGCACTGGCTGTGTCCAAAGATCCTGAACTCAATTCCCAGCAGCCACATGGTGGCTCATAACCATCTATAAGGAGATCTGGTGCCCTCTTCTGGCCTGCACAGGCACACATGAACATAGAAGACTGTATAAATAATAAATAAATCTTAAAAAAAACGTGCATATGTGTGTTTCTCAGTGTGAATTTGTGCATACTGAATGTACTGCTGTGGAGGCATCAGGTCCCCTAAAGCTGGAGTTACACTCAATGTGTGTTAACTGATGTGGGTGCTGGGAAAAGAGCTGACAGTCCCCTGGAAAAAAATGTTTACTCTCACCCACTGAGCCACCCCCTGCAGCCTTTCAGCCAGTTCCCTGATGTGGGAATGATCTGATATGACTTTTCATATCAGGTGCAGTCATTTACTTTTTGGGTTGTACCTTTGTCTTGAGATAGAGTCTTGGGTCATCCAAGCTGCCTTAAACTTACTATGCAACCAGGGTTGACCTTGTTGTACTAATTCTCTTTCCTCTATCTCTCAAGCTCTGGAGTTACAGACGCACAATAATAATTGTGCTAGTGTCATGCAGTTTCTTTTTTAGATTTATGTGTTTAAGTGTTTTGCTAGCATTTTGTCTGTGCACTGTGTGTGCTTGGTGACCTTGAGGCCAGAAAAGGGTGTTTGCTTCCCAGAAACTGGAGTTATGGAGGGTTGTAGGTTTTCGGTTGGAGCTCTGGTCTTCTGCAAGAACAAGAAGTGCTCCTAACCTGGCACCTTGCACATATAGGCAAATGTAGTAAGCTCTGCTACAATCCCAGGCACCCCACTGCAAACCTTTGAGATGGGGTTTATCTAAACCCCATCTCAAAACCCTTCTAAAAACCAGAAGGGAGTTTTTAAGCTTTTAGCAATCCTGCCTTGGCCTCCAAGCACTGGACTTACAGCCCTGGCTCTGAAGTCCTTTTTTATACAGAAAAAAAACCCAAGTCACTTCAGGTGACGCTGACCATGAGCAAAACTAGTGAATCTCCAGACTTTGCTCCAGCCACAGAAATCAGGCGATACTCTAATTCTGCATTTCATCTGTGCATTACCTCAGTGTGTCACCTCAAGTCCTCAAACAGGGTCTCACTAGTGCAGAAATCACTGAACAACAACAACAGTAAACTACCTTTATTGAGTGAGTCACTGTGCTGGATAATTTACGGTTTAGGGAATTGAGGCTGGTAGCATTTCTGAGATCATTCCAATTTTTGTTCTTTGATAGTTTCTCCTGTAACCCATGCTAACCTCCAGTTAGGCAGTCACCTATCTTCCTCCCTCCTCCCCAACTCTTATTCACGAAGTCCTGACTGGCCAGGAACCCGCTGTGTAGACCAAGATGGCCTCAAGTCCCGACTGCTCCTGCCTGCTGGGTATGAAGGTGTGGGCCATTACGACTGGCCAAACCTAGTCCTCTTAATCACTGTTTAGATAAAAATTACTTGGACCTTGAAACAGCAATAATCACTGACTGAACTATTCATTGACTCTCAATCTCGTCTTTCTCATGTGTCAGACTGTTTTTTCATTCGAATTTAAAATCTTGTCCCTCTGACAGTTTTTAGAGCCACCAGATATATTGCGGAATGTGTATTTTGTGCATGTATAGTGTTCCTTCTAAGCGATTATTAACATTAAAATAAAAGCAGCCTTACGGTAATGTCACCAAGGCACTCCACTAAGCGTTCCGGGCCGATCTTCTACACCCACGGAAGACCTTGGTCTGGTCTTCGAGCACTGCCCACTCAAGCACCAACACAGCCCTCGGAGTCTCCGCGGGCGCCACGCACCTCCCGCGTTTCAGCGCACCCGCCGCCTCTCGGATCCCGGGAAGAGCGTAACTCCGGAGGCGAAGCCTTTCCAGTCGCCGCAGCCCCGAGGACAGCGAGGAGGAAGACAAAAAGCGGGCTGCCGCCGGCGCGTGTGCCGCCGGCCCGGAGTTCGGTTCCACCTTCCGCTGCACGCACCGGGCGCCCACAAGTGACCACGCCAGGCCCAACGCCGCGGTGGCCGGGAACCTTCGGCTAAACGCCCGCGGCCGCGAAAACAAGTACGCTCCGCCCTCGCGGACGTCAGCGGCCCGCCCCCATCCTGCCCGAGCCGACGGGACACCCCCGCCCCACAAAGGCCAAAGCAGAAGCCCCACGGGAGAAAGCGGAGCCGGGGCCACCGCCCTCCGAGACCCAGGCCGCTGCTCGACCCCGCCCCGCGTAGCCCGCGGGCTGCCGCCCCTCCCCCACCAGCCGGGCGGTGGGAGCCCCGCACCTCCCCCGCCGAGAGGCTCCGGAGTACTGTCAGTACCGCCTCCGCAGGCGTCTGCTGCCGCAGCGCCTTCTGGGAGTTGGAGTTCTGAGACCGCCTTTATACGCCGCGGCGCCGCGCTAGGGACTACCACTCCCACAATGCCGCGCGCCGCAAGCGCCACACCCCTACATTGACGAAGCCCAGACATCCAGACTACAGTTCCCGACGACCCTCCCGGCGCTCCCGCCCTCCCTCCCGAGACACGAGCCGAACTGGGCGTCAGGTCGGGGAGCCGGTCGGGTTCCCGCTCGCTGTCGCCGCCGCCGCCCCCCACAGTGCCTCTCCCGCCTCTCCACAGCGTCGGCCGTGGGAGCTGCATCCTCCTCTCAGTTCGCTGAGGAGACTCCAGTTCGGGATCAGCGAGCCGGCGACGCGACACAGCGACACCCCTCATCACCTCCAGCCCGGGCGACCCCTCCCCGGCCGGGTCCGCCCTCGCCCTGCGCCGTGCCGGAGCCCCCTGGCCCTGAGCGCCCCGCGGGCCCACTCCCGCACTCCGGCCTCGGCACTCCCACAGCCGCCGCCCCCCACCCGGAACATGGACTCCGACTCCTGCGCCGCCGCCTTCCACCCCGAGGTGAGTGCGAGCCTCGCCTCGCCGCCTCCTCCCCGGCCTCCGCTGCGCCCTCGGCCGGGCCGGACCCCGGGAGGGCATCTCGAGTTCGGCCTCCCTCCCCCACGTTCGCCCGGCGCCCCCGGCTCGGGCCCGCGCCTGTGCTCCCCGCCGGTCCTCCCGGGCGCCGCGCCCACCCTCCGCCCCGCGGACATGGCCCTCCGCCGCCCCGGCTCGGGCTCGCGGGGTCGCCTCCCCACTTCCTCGGTGTGGCCCGGCCCCCTCGGAACGGCCACACGCGCGCGGTCCTGCCGCCCCCTCCACCGGCCAGGCCGCGCCCCGCCCCCACGGCGCCCGCGTCCGGGGGTCCGCACTCGGGAGCCGGTCTCCCGCGCCCGCCCCTCCCCCTCCTTCCGGGGAGCGGCCCCCGCGCAGCGCCCCCGGGCTGGGGTCGGTGTGCGGGGTGCGCGGCGGAGGCGGGGCGGGACGCGCGGGGGGTCGGCGGTGTGGCAGCTGTGGGCGGGAGGCGCTGGGCCTGCGCGGCGCCGGGACACCCACCCCGGTCCCGCGGGCGTCCCGCACCCCACGGGTGGGCCCCGCACCTTCCGGGGCCTGCGCGGGCAGGCGGGCGGCGCGCGCCATCTGCTCCGGGAGGGAGGGCGGGTCTTTCGCCGCCCCGGCGCCGCCCCGCACTCGGCGTCCGCGGCCTTATCCCCCACCCCTGCCCCACGATGTTCCCCCCCCCCCCCCCCGCGAAATTAAAGTTTTCCCTGAGTTGGGGCCCGGTTGGACTGCTCTGGGGCTGTCCCAATGCCGGGAGCGCGCGGCCCTGTGTGCGGCCGGTCGCCTGCGGGGCTGGCCGAGGGGCGGGAGCGAGCGGCCTGCTGGAGCAAGTTGGGACCGTCTTTGAAAGTGCTGTGTTGCGCGCTGCTTTGCGGGAGGCTTTCGGAGGTTGGCCTGGTGTCCGCCTCCTAGCTGGTCGAGTGTCTCAGCACGGGTGGGGGTGGCGACAGGGTGCGGGGAGCAACCGCAGGGAATGTTCCCGGAGCCGCCGATGCTCCGCCTTCTTGGGGAGAAAAGTCCCTTTTTTGTGGTGGGTGCTTGTCGCTCGGCCGTTGAGTGGCCCTCTGAGCCGGCTGCTCTTGCGTTCCTGTGCACCTAAACCGAGCAGTGTTTCTCTTCCGATTCAGTCGGAACACTTGGGTGCCCTGTCCGGCATCCCGTTCCTACAAGGAGTGGAGGATGCCCCCTGAGCTGCAGACACTGGGACCCCCTCCCTGCCTTGGCCTTGAGGGAATCGGGTTTGGAGCTTATGGAGAGATTGAAGCTGCCCAGTCTTGAAATCACTTAAGATATATTTGTTTAGAGCCACAGCTGCAGTTTGTTTTCAAAGTGGAAAATCTGTAGAACAAATGTAGATGTTGGAGGTCCTGATAGGCCTGCAGGGACAAACAGATGAGGCTGGAGCCAGGAGGTGGGCTGAAGACAAGCTTTTATCTCCCAGCCAGTTTCCCAGTGTTCTTGGCACCGAATCCTAGAACTCCTTCTACCTTAAAGCTGTTTCTTGACCCGACTTACCTTATCTTGTTTTTAGCCTGTAAATCCTGCAGTGTTCCGTGAGTTGGCAATAAAAGTTGCAGCTTGCTTTGTTTTGATGGATTCCCCTCCGCAGGAGTCTCCCTCACATACCCTTTGTTCCCCTCAACAGGAGTACTCCCCCAGTTGCAAGAGGCGCAGGACTGTTGAGGACTTCAACAAATTCTGCACCTTCGTGTTGGCCTATGCTGGCTACATCCCCTATCCGAAGGAGGTAAGAATTGAGCAGAAGACCCCAGCGCCTTGGGGCTGCCACAGGTGCCTCACAAGGAGTGGTCTGGAAGCGCATGGTGCCAGCTTTGGGCAGTAGTCTGGCAGAAATCCTTTTTTTTTTTTTTTTTTGGTACCTAGATCAGCCCCCAGGTAGGGAAGTAATTCCCAAACCTTTAGTAGGCTTGTCTAGAAATGATTTAGCATACTTTTATCTGTTTTTGTTTTTTGTTTTTTTTTTGAGATAGGGTTTTGCTGTGTAGCCCTGGCTGTCTTGGAACTCACTCTATAGACCAGGGTGACTTCGAACTCAGTGATCCGCCTGCCTTTTATGAGATTAAATGCATGTGTCACCACTGTCTAGCTTTTTTTTTTTTTTTTTTTTTTGGTTGGTATTTTAAAAATAAAGTCACTCTTGTAATCCTCACACTCAAATGAGGCAGGAGGTTTCAGGCTAGCTTGGGCTACACAGTGAATTCAAAGCCAGCATGGCCTAAGAATGAGACCTTGTCTCAAGAAAATAGTACCATGGACAAAAACGCAGAAAGCAAAGTATTTGCAAAATCTGTACTTGGTTTGCTGTTTTTTTTTAAAGGGCCAGCACTTGAGTGGCCAGACCAACGGCCTGTGGAGTGAACTAAGTGCTCCCTGCCCTTTTCTTGCTGTGGGATTCAGCTTGTGCTTGGTTGTTGGAAATACCCAAAACCAGATCTTAAGGGATTCTTGCCCATGCTCCAAATTCTGTGTACCTGAAAGCTTTTTTTTTTTTTTTTTTTTTTTTGTCCTTGCCAAGGAAAAGGCAGAAGCGGGGAGGGATGTCAGCTGCCGTGGGTCTCAGACTGCTGGGGTCCTGTGCACATCAGATGGAGCTACACACATACACACAATCTGGTGTTTTGGGAAGTAAAGTTGTAACATGGATTTATTGTTACTTGCTGTACAATGCATACTTTGTACCATGTGGGATGCAGTCTTAGCAAATACTGAATAGTATAAGCTGCAGCACCTAGCTTGCTGCTGGGGGTCACTGATTACCTAGATTTTGCAAAGTTTTGGGGTGTCTTCTGTTTTTTATTTCCATTTTTTTTTTTTGAAACAGGGTTTCCCTGTGTAGTCCTGACTTTCCTGGAATTCTCTGTAGACCAGGCTGGACTTGAACTCAGAGATCTGCCTGCCTCTGCCTCCCAAGTGCTGGGGGTAAAGGTGTGCACCACTACCGCCCAGCATTATTTATTTGTTTGTTTATTTTTAATTTTATTTTTCTTGTTTCTCTGTCCTGTAGCCTAGACTGGCCTTGAACTCAGAGGTCTGCCTCAGTCTTAAAGGCATACATCACTATGCTCAGCTGTTGTTTTTTCTTTTATATGTCAAAAAGGTCGGAATTTTGAAACTAACTTAAATTCATGTAATTAAGAAATACAGGTTGGGAGAACAAATGGAAGAGGGCTACTCTTCCTTATTCAAGGAAAAATAAAGATATGAGAGGCGTGTGTAGATTTCCCTGTAGGGTCCTGAGGGTAAACTTACATCCTTCTTCCTTGGGTGCCAGGCAGGCGCTCTGCTACTCTGTCCCATTGCACCTTAGTCTAACTCCCCATAGTTAACCATGAGCTTAGTCCTGGCCCTGGGGTGGGAAATGAGGCTGCAGTGAGGGGAGGTGCGCCTTCCTGGTCTGCTGGCACAGTAACTGCTAAAGAGGTTGTACCAGTTCCATGCTGACTAGAGCCCAGGGTTCAGGTTGTGCTTGCTCAGTGCAGAAGGATGGACCTGCTGGGGCTGGGGGCTCCTAACTGTGGAGCTGGCTCAGTTACCAACCATGTCCCTGTGCTCTCTGTTTCAGGAGCTCCCCTTGCGGAGCAGCCCTAGCCCGGCCAACAGTACTGCGGGCACCATTGACAGTGACGGCTGGGACGCTGGCTTCTCCGACATCTCGTCTCCAGTGCCCCTGCCAGTGTCTGACCGATGCTTCAGCCACCTGCAGCCCTCCCTCTTGCAGCGAGCGAAGCCCAGTAACTTCCTGCTGGACAGGAAGAAAACTGACAAGCTGAAGAAGAAGAAGAAGAGGAAGCGAAGGGACAGCGACGCTCCTGTGAAGGAGGGGTTCAGGGGGGACCTGCTGAAGCTGGAAGCTGCAGATCCATATGTGGAGACGCCCACAAGTCCCACCATGCAGGATATTCCCCAGGCCTCTGCTGACCCCTGCTCAGGCTGGGACTCTGACACTCCCTCAAGTGGTTCTTGTGCTACTGTGTCACCGGATCAGGTCAAGGAAATAAAAACTGAAGGAAAACGGACTATTGTCCGGCAGGGAAAGCAGGTGGTGTTCCGAGATGAAGATAGCACTGGCAACGATGAGGACATCATGGTGGACTCAGGTGAGTTCTTTGTCCAGGCCCTTGGTTGGGACCAGAGTGCACCGAGGAGTTGAAAGGAGACTGTAGAAGCAAGGACAGGTGGATGCTCAGAATTGTTAGCGCCTGGATACAGAAGCCTGAGGGGGACAGTGTGGCTCATGAGTGGTAGTTGGCCTCCACATGGACCTCAGCCTTTTGGGATGTAGTCATTATGTTCAGAGAGGACACCAGCTCAGCTAGTTCGGTGGCTGGAGTGGGGTTTTGGTCACACTTAGCCACTGTGTCTCTCTCAGGGGCGGAGGGCTGAGGAGGTCCCTACCTCTCACCTGTTCTTTGCCTTCCAGATGATGACTCCTGGGATCTTGTCACCTGTTTCTGCATGAAGCCCTTTGCTGGTCGCCCCATGATAGAGTGTAATGAGTGCCACACCTGGATCCACCTGTCCTGTGCGAAGATCCGGAAGTCCAATGTTCCAGAAGTGTTTGTCTGCCAAAAGTGCCGGGACTCTAAGTTCGATATCCGTCGTTCCAATCGCTCCCGAATGGGCTCCCGGAAGCTGTTTCTGGACTGATTGGGAGCTGGCGAGGAGATAGGCGGGACTGGAAGGGCCTGGGCTCTGTGGCCTTCCTTAGTTGGACACAGAACTCCCAGTCTGGTGCGAGCAGACCCTGCCACTCAGGTGCCTAAGCAAAGGACGAGCCGTCCCGGTAGAACTGTACATAGCTAGCGAGCAGATAAAACGGTCCGAGCCGCTGCTCCAGCTGTGCTGTGTGCGTTGGAGGCAGACTGAGCACCAGGTCTGCTTCAGCCGAGCGTGAGGCACACTGGCACCGTCCGCCACTCCTGCCGCTGGAGCCAGTGCTCGCTGGCAGTCCTGTCTCCTCTGCTTGCAGTGGAGTTGTTCTGTTTCTCTGGCCTGTGTTTATTCTCCAGTGTTGGTCTTTATCACAAGTGTCTATACAGCAGCCGTCCAAGTTGCCCGCCCCTTTGTGGTCTCACTGCCCCTCCCTCAGTTATACTTACTGGGCCAGGGAGCTGTTTCCTGAGAGGTCTAGTGTCCCCAAGAGGAGCCCTGGGTGGTGGGTGAGCTATCTTTGGTTGTCACTGTTTGTTTAAAGGGACAGTATGTAGCCGCTTTCCACAGTGTGGGGTTTGGAGGCGAAGGTGTTCTGTGTTCATAACTCAGTTTCTTGTTTTGCACGATGTAAAAAGCCCCATTTTTTTTTTTTTTTTTTTTAAATCTTTTACACGATACAGCCCAAAGTGTTGGCCACTGTCTTGTTGGGTGCCCTTGCTCTGCTCTTGATGCTCAGTGTCCAGGGTGCCCGGCACCATCCTGTGGGAGCGCTTGGTTCTTTCTGTTTTTTTGCGGCCCTCAGAAGTGGCTGTTGGGGGACCTGTGTGCTGTTCTTCAGATAATAGGTAGAATGTGAGAACATTTGGCTGAGACTGCCCTCTACACAAGCTGGCGCTGCGTGCCGAGGGCTTGATTGGTGCTGTGACAGCTTGCAGCAGTGTGCACTCTGGGTGTGGGTGAGGGGCAGCTGAGCACTTGGGACACTTGTCCTAGGGCTGGGAGGGAGGAGGGAGCTCTGGCTCTCAGGTCCTCTTCTCTTGTTAGCACTTCCAACTGTCTGTTCTCAGCAGTGTTGGGCAGAACAATGGGTATGTGTGCTAAGTTTTTTGTTAGGCGTTAGACAGGGACGAGTGCCTGGGTGGGTCCCAGGTCAGCCTCCCTGCAGCACCTCCTAAGGGTCACCGAGCATTCTCCCACGTTATTTTATGCACCAAAGGAGCTCGGACTGTAATCTGGCTAAACAGCCCAGTTTTTTTTTTTTTTTTTTTTTTTTTTGTCTTAGTGTCTTTTTAAATATCAAGAACTTAAACTTGTCCAGTTTAAGTAATTTAGTTTTTTTTTTTTTTAAATCCTGTTGCTAATGTTAAAGTAGAGAAGTACTTATACTGCTGAAGCTCAGTTGGTCGTGCAGATCTCAAGGGAGAACTGCTGTAAAGAAGGAGCTATTCCAGAAAGTCTTGTCCCAGGCCCTGGTCTGGCTGGGACTAGAGCAAATGCCCAGGACAAGTTAGAGGAATTTGCCAAAGACCTGCCCCATGACAGTGCTTGTCCAGTGTCTTCGCCCTGAGAGTAACCAAAGTTCCAGTAGTTCTTTTTTTTTTTTAAGTGCATTTAAGACTATATGTGGTTTTGTTGTGGAGTGGTGGAGCTGGCCGTTGTTCGGTGTGCCCAGAGATTCGACGCCTCTGGAACACCTTGACACTCATCTCGGTTTGCTTGCTTTGTGTTTTTTAATGGGATCTCTCCCGGTGGGTGGTGTCAGAAGCCAGACACCTTGGTTTGGGGTTAGATTGAGCTGGGCAGCTGCAATCAGCTTCTTTATGCAAACTAGGCACGACCCTCTAGGGGCTCCTGGTTGATGGTAGTAATGTGAGGGGAGGGAAAGGTGTCACCCCAAAGTAGACCCTCCTGTTGGCTTTGGCCAGGCCAGACAGCGCCGATTACATGGTTCTTCTTGTAGAGTCTGTGTATATAAAGCAAGCTTTTCTGTGAAACTGTATATTTTGTAAATAAAGATATTGCTACTTTGAGCTCGGTGTCTCCTTGGGTGTCCTGTGGTAAAGGACACCGAATCTCCTGGTCACTTGCCGATGGCGGCACTGGCAAGCTGAACCCGGTGTAGGCATTTACCACCAGGAAAAGGACTGGCCCTGAGCTGCTTCTCCAGCTAGCTCTCAGTTCCTCGGTCACCCTGGCTCTGTTCAGGTGTGTGGGGCCTGTGGGGTTGGGAGTCGCCACAGCCTTTAGGGTCTGCAAAGTTTGGGATTGGGACCTTGCTTGGGCATGGTGTAACACGGCTTTAACCGCAGCGCTTGGCAAGCGGGTCTGAGTTCGAGGTGAATCCGGGGCTAGGCATCTATCCAACGAGCCAGTTGACGGTCCAGAGGGGTCCAAGTAGGAGTTTAAGGCCCGTCAGGCTCTTGTACCTGTCTCTGAAAAGGCAGGACCGAGCCCCTACCTCGGAAAGCTTTAAACTGTTAGCCGAGTTAGGGGTTAACCCTTCTCTAGCTTGTTGCTTGGGTGGGAGCCTTACGAGGCATTCCCCAGGTCCCAACCGGTTTTCAGGGAGCAGAGCAAGCCCGCTCCCGGCACCGGGAGGCTTGCAGGCTCCGCCCCTCAGGCTCCGCCCCCGGGGCCGCGTGGCCGCCATCTTTGTTCCGGGCAGTGGGCCCATCTCCGAGATGCCGAAGTCTTGCGCGGCCCGGCAATGCTGCAACCGCTACAGCAGCCGCAGGAAGCAGCTCACCTTCCACCGGTGAGGGACGGGGAGCCGGGACTCGACCCTACAGAACTCTCGCCGGCCGCAGTGCACCGGGCGGGAGCTCGGGAAGGCCCAGGGTTTGCGGGCGAGGTGGACCGGGACTGCGGGGAGGGTCGGGCAGGGCGTCAGCGGCGCTCCCGCGGCCTCACAGCCCGCGCTCCGCCGCCCCCTCCTGCTGCGGGCTTGGGCCGACCCGCCGCGCCTGGAAGCAGTAGGTGCTCAGTGTGAACAGGATGGGCGTGAGTGGCGGCTGGCCGGGGCCCCCCTCTGCCTGCGTCACCTCGAGGAAGGCTCAGGCGGAGGTGCATGGCCTGGAGAAACGAGTGCCTCCAGGATGGCCGGGCCTCGTGGCAGGGACTTCGGTCGTGGGAAGGTGGTGGATCCCCGGCCCGGCAGCGCCGTTCCCTCTTCCCAGTGCGACTCACGCCGAGTCCTTTCTTTCTTTCTTTATCTATCTTTCTTTTGACAGAGAGACAGGGTTTCTCTGTGTAGTCCTGGTTGTCCTGGACTCGCTTTATAGACCAGGCTGGCCTGGAACTCAGTGATTCGCCTGCCTCTGCCTCCCCGAGTGCTAGGATTACTGGCGCGTCCTGCCAGGGACGCACTTTGAAGGCTCCGGCTTCCAGCGGTGTCTGCCTGCAGGGTTCACTTCCCTGAGGCCTGGCACCGGCTGCACACTCCCCACGCCCCGGCACACTGTGGGTGTTTCCCCTGAAGAGCAGAACCACAGAAACACAGCAGTGGGCAGCTGTGAAGACTCCGCTGACACCTACTTAGTCTCTTCTCCCACCTGGCTACTGCCCGCCTGTAGAGTGGGTTGCTGTGGCCTGAAGTAACGGAACCCAGCGCGTGCTTTCTTCCTTCAGGCACTGTCGAGAGAGACCTCCTTGCCCCCCATGCGCTACCGAGTTCTGTATTCCGGTGAAGACGTGCCGGGAGCCGCGTTCTGCAGTTGAAGGGTCTTGGGCGGCGGCGTGGGTAGTTGTCAAGAGACCTGTGTCATGGGGCCATGTTGCCATATGCTCAGATATACAGCCCTCCCCATTCGCTCTTGTTTTTTGTTTTTAAATTTATTTGTGTATGGAAGGCTCATGCTCTTGCCATGTCTCCCAGGGGTAGTCAGCGGACACCCTTTTCCTGTTCTGTGAGGCCACAGAACGCAGAACACAGAACTCAGGTTGGGCTTTTTGCCAGGCGCCTTTACCTGCTGAGCCAGCGTAATAGCCCTCCTGCCTCTTTTCAGCCCGGGCCCTATTCTGTAGCGCTAGCTCCTCCGGACCCTCACTATGTAGCGAGAACTGGCTTTGAAAGCCTGGGATTCCCCACTCCCTAATGCTAGGATGCTAGCAACACGTGTTAGGGAGACTTCTGTATTTTACTTTGGTATTGAGGATGGGCTCAGGCCCTCAAGAGTGGCTGGCAGACAGGCGCTGTGCTGCAGAGCCATGCCTCCAGCCCTTCTCTGCTATCCCCCTGTCTCCCAGACAGGGTTTCTCAATGTAGCTTCGGCTGTCCTGGAACTCGCTCTGTAGCCAGGCTAGCCTCGGACTCACAGAGATCCCCCTGCCTCTGCCTCCCAAGTGCTGGGATTAAAGGTGTGCACCACCACCGCCTGGCTTAAGTGTTTATTGACACAGGCATTGTACATACGGTAGGCTTCCTAAGGACATTTTTCATCCTTGTGGCCTCCTGCCTGCCTCGTGCCTGTGCTCACCCTTGCTCCCAGGCGGTGTTGCCTCTATATTTTTGAGAGGGAAGGTCTTGTATAGGCCAGGCTAGCTTTGAACTGGACCCTCCTGCTGGGATTCCGGCACGTCCCATCATGCCCAGTTGTCTTGCTTATCCTTCATGTCACCTGCCTTTGTCTTAAATGATCTCTTTGGACTGGACTGGTCTCTTCCCCACTTGACTCCCAGGGTGCATCTTGACCTTTGTCCCTTGTCAGTCTCCTTCAGCAGGTTCTCCCGCTTTCCACACTAAGTGTTCAGGGTTGCGCCCGAGTGCTCCCAGACTTCGGGTTCTGCTGGGGCATCCCCAGGCACATGGCCCGTCTGCCACTCTTGAAGAGCACCTTCACATCTAACGTATCAAGCGTGTGTTCACCCAGACCTGCCCCTCAGTGGGGCCCTCTCCGTGGCAAACATGAACAAGCAAACCTCGATGCCGGCTTGCTTGCTTTCTCTCTTTCCTCTGCTCTCCCCTTTCCCTTCTATCATCTTTCTCTTTCTTTTCCTTCCTTCTGCCACTCCCCCATTTGCCTGCCTGGAATTCACTGTGTACACCAGGCTGTCCTCACTCACAGAGCTCCAGCTGCCTCTGCCTCCTGAATGTTGGGATTAAAGGCCTGTGCCACCGCCACCACTTGGCTGTTTTTGTTTTTGACACAGGCTGCCCTTGCACTTACATCAGTCCTCCTGCCTCAGCCTTCCAAGTGCTGGGATCGCAGACTTGAGTGGTTACCCTAGCATTGCCCTGCTTTCGCCCTGCCCCACTGGCCTCAGCACTTTCCCTTGCTCACCCCTGGTTTTCACTGTCTGCATTCTCACCACAAGCCTGGTGCATACAGGCTCCCCTCTCTCCTTTTCTCATCCAGACCTACAGTGGTGCCCATTGCAATGCCCCATCTACCTAAACAAATACCTGTGTCACGTGGTTCTTCCTCCAGCTGCCCCACCCCCCATCTGTAAAGGCCGAAGGGTTTGGCTTCTCACCCCCTGCGGGTCTGTTCAGATGCCACCTTGGCCAGCCCTGACTACCACAGGGCTTCCTCCTGTCTTCAGCTGCTCCAGCCCTCACAGTCTGCCTCAGCTTGCTTTGCTGATATTTGAGGTGCAGGCTCCTGAAGGGCTAGCTCCTATCCGCTGCCATGTTCTGGCAGGAAACCAGGGCCTAGAAAGTGGTGAGCCAGTGAAGGAAGGGTGGTGGCTCCTGGCATGTGCTAGGGCACGGCTCTCTTGGGCTCTTTCACTATGTTCATGATCTTGGGATTCACGTGTGTGTCGATAACAGCCATGGTGAGAGTTTCGGACGGTAGGTATGATTAACAAAGCGGATTACCGAGTTTCCGGAACTGCGCCATGGAATACTGTGCCCATAGGTTCCCGTTCAGCCGCCCGGAGCTGCTAAAGGAATGGCTGCTCAACATTGGCCGGGCTAACTTCAAGCCCAAGCAGCACACAGTCATCTGCTCCGAGCACTTCAGACCCGAGTGCTTCAGCGCCTTTGGGAACCGCAAGAACCTGAAACAGAACGCTGTGCCCACCGTGTTCGCTTTCCAGAACCCCACACAGGTAGGGTGCTGGTCTGCTCCGCCAGCGGGACTGTGGGTGCTGAGCGGGGAGCTTACAGTTAAGTTGTACTTGGACTGTGATGCAGCTCGGTTGGTTGAGTCCTGGCCTACGCGCACACCTTTGATCCCAGTGCTCAGGCACAGGCATGTGGATCGATAGAGTTCAAGGACAGCCAAGGCTATAGAGAGAAACCCTATCTCACCACCACCCCCAACAAAACAAAAACCGTGGGATCAAGCCCTCGCACTGTACAGCTTGTGGTAGTGAGGCTTGTCGTCCCGAAATTTGTGGAGCAGAGGCATAAGGATAAAAACCAGCCTGGGGTACACAAGACTCTGCCAAAGAAAGAGGAGTTATTAAAAGCTCCTTTAGGATTCATCATGTGTGCTGGGGCCTGGGGTGCTACCTCAGAGAGAGGTGGGCATACCCGTTCTCTCCACACACCCGGGCTGCTGTTCGGTGGCAGCTTCCTGGTCGGGTGGCCCCCACAAGCTTGAGTTAGCGGAAGGTGAGAAAGCTGACAGAGCAGAGCATTAGGTTCTAGTTCAGGGCCTCTCTCAGGCAGAGGCTGTGGCCTCAGGCTCCCTGTCAGACGGCAGTGGGTCAGGGGCTGGAGACCTGGAGTTGCTGGGAGGAAGAGGCGGGCTCTGCCTGCAGATGCGCAGCCCTGCAGGGATTACTCGGGGATGGACGGTGGCAGCTGTAGGAGGATCCAGTGTCTGCCAGCTCAGCCAGCCTGACTCCGCCTGCTGTTCCCAGGTCTGCCCTGAGGTGGGGGCTGGTGGGGACAGCTCAGGGAAGAACATGGACACCACAATGGAAGAGTTGCAGCCTCCAGACACTGAAGGCCCCGTGAAACAGGTAAGACCCTGGGATGAGGTGCTCTCAGAGGGACAAACAAAATGAAGAAACCCAGTGCCCCAGAGGACACAGCAGAGCAGGAGCAGCAGGATAGGCGGCTGAGTGGCAGCCCCTCAGGAAGACTGCCATAACAGCACACCAGGATTTCAGCAGGGGAAACAGGGCCGGGCTGAACCCGAAGGTACAGGCCTTGTGGCCGCAGCTCAGGTGCCTTCCTGCTGGGGACACAGCGCCACCTGGGCAGCTCCTCAGCACTGACCTCTGTCCTCAGGACTTACCAGAGAGAGCAGAAGCAATGGAGGCCCCCAGCCTGCCAGCCAGCCCCCTGTTGGAAAGGCCCCTTCCAGGACAGCCGTCTGATCACAGCTATGCCCTTTTGGACTTGGATACCCTGAAAAAAAAACTTTTCCTCACGCTGAAGGAAAACAAGAGGCTCCGGAAGCGCCTAAAGGCACAGAGGCTGCTGCTGCGGAGGACATGTGGCCGCCTGCGAGCCTACAGAGAGGGACAGCGGGGCCTGCGGCGGGCCAGACGGCCAGCACAGCGGAGCTGAGCCCGAGGCTCTGGGACGTGGGGAGGGTGCTGACACCCTGGCAGCAAGTGGAGCTCAGACTGCTGTGCACACTTGCCCTCGCTGCTGGCAGGATGGGGTGCTGTGACTGGCAGCTATCAGGTGGGGCCCAAGTGCTGCGGAGTCAGGCAGTCTCAGGGGTCCTAGGCTGAGGCTGGCAGCTGTGGGGCTGTCTTGCAACAGTGAGCAAGTGTGAGGTGCTGTCACAACCCTGTCAGATCCTCCCTGAGGTGGCCGTTCTTACAGGCCCACTCCAGGAACAGGTCTAGTCCATGGGCCCTCACTTCCCCAGAGGAACTATTCTGACAGGGCACGGATCCCCCATCAGCTGTATTTCTCAGTGACTCCTTTTTTGGCCTGGTTTGTGTGAATGTGGAATAAATTCTTTGAACGCTGTTTAGGTTTGTCACTGTTTCATTGCTGCTTAGACCTCTCCCCACTCCATAAAGGACAGACAGGTGTGACTACAGAAGCAACCTGGAGAAAATAGAGGTGGGCAGGGGCTGCTGTACCGAACCAGGGATGGGGCTCTTTGAGAGACTCCAGGTTTGGTTTCAGCACTTAGAGGATGTACCTCCAGCTGCAGGGGAGTCTATGCCCATTGACCTCTGAGGGCACCATGCAAACATACGATGGTGCACACGTGCAGGCAAAACACCCGTACACAGGAAGAACAAAGAAACAACAAAAATCATCTGTGAGCAGAGGCACAACCTGTTAACTCCAGCACACAGGCTCATGAGTTCTGGGCCAGCATGATTCAAGTGCAAACACAAAATCTTAGTTCTAATTTCCTTATGAGGTTCTGTATCTGAGGTTAAACACTCAGCACAAAAAATGGAGCTACAGCTTCAACTTGTGACCAATGGTCTAAGCTGAAGCAGGGATGGGAAAAGGTGCTTGGGGCATCGTAGCCCACTGTCCCTTCCTAAACACACACACACAGATGGACAGAAGCGGCCTCAGCTTTCAGGTCAGGTTTATTGTTGGGCAGTGCTGCCACAGTCAGCTTCAGACAGAAGGGGCAGCAGTGCCCAGGGGCCACAGGCCACTGAGTCAAGGCTCATGCAACAGTGCAAACTGCATTTCAGCTTGCGGGGCAAAGAAACATCCTTGTAAGGAAAAAAAAGATAAACGTTACAGAATTGAATTGCTTTTTAAAAACTGAGGGGTCTTGAGAATGCCTTCAGCAGCTGCTGCTGTGGGTTAGAGCCACTACTGTGGCAACACCTGTTTAGAGGGTAGAGCCTGTGTGCAAGGAAGGGGTCTGGGAGCCAAGACTCCCTGAGGTGCCCTGGGAGGGCCTGGCCTGGCGAGCAACAGCACCACCTGCTGGGCACTCATTGGAGGTGCAGGTGCCTGGGCCGGCCTTGGGTCCATACCCAGGATTTGGCAAACTCGTGCCCCAACGCCCTGCAAAACTCCCCTCCTTCTAACACCATCCTCTAGAGGAGTGGGTGTAGGCACGGCAGGACAGTGTCTTGTGGGGTGGGGTGACGGGTCCACTGGCATCAGGGTGTCTTCTCTTAGCAATGTGGGCAGTGTGCCTGGACAGTGCACCTTGGGACCGGGGGTTTCCCCTCTGTGCCAAGCCAGGGCCTGAAGGAATGATTTGAGAAGCTCTGGTCGTGGGAAGAAAGAGACTAGTTTCCACACCCGTTGTCTCAGAAGAAAAGCAGTTTTATAAACCCGCAGTCCTCTCTAGTCCATTCAGTGACGTTTCAGAAGAGAGAGGTGGCTTGTGGGAAGTTTATTGAGCAGCACGCGACACACCGTCCTCCTTTCCATGTTTCCCATGTGCAGCGTGGGTGTCAGGAAGAGCTCCCATGTGTGAGGGCAGAATGTTCCAGATACCTCCAGAGGGCTGCTGGGAACAGCCACTCACGATGAAGACCGGGGTGGATGACCTCAGAGTTGGCTCAGGCCCTGCCCTCCAGGAACATGATCCTTGGGGTTAGACATGGCTGTGCTGTGGCCTGGCAAGGAGGCCCTGCAGTCCTACCCACAGCGCCCACGCAGCTCAGCATGTCCCTTCACATAATTGATACAGAGCCACCTTCTCGAGAAATAAACTAAAAACATCTCACATCTGGGTTTTCCCTGCTTCCAAATTTGTAGACTCCCAGGAAAAAGGTTTTGTAGCCTCTTTTTACTCAGGTCGCCAAGTAGTTTACCCATCTGTGTCGATCCTGTGAGCTGGGGAAGAAAAGAACAAGTCAGGCTGGCAGACGGCAAATACGTGTCCTCCGCCCCCTTCCTCCGACATTGGCCAGCTCTGCTGCTCCTCTTTGAGACAGGGCTTCTCCTAAGTTCCACCACACTCAAGCAACTGCTTCTGGATCTGGGAAGAAGGTATCACTTCCACACAGCCTCTCACAGCTGTGGCCACGTGTCACATCTCCCAACCCCTTTTGAATTTCTGTGTTTTGTCTGAACATACGGATGTGTATGGATGTGCAGCACATTCACGCCTGGTGCTCATGGCCAGAAGGGGGCATCAGATCCCTTGAAACTGCAGTCACAGATCGCTGTGAGCCACCATGTATGTGGGTGCTGGGAACTGAACTGAATTTTGTCTTCTGCAAAAATAACATACGCTCTCAACTGTGAGCCCTCTCTCTAGCTTTTTCCTTTTTTTTGGAGATGAGCCTCACTATGTAGGCCAGCCAAAAGCATGATTGATTTGGCCAAAAGCATGCTCTGACTCTTGTCTGTGATGAGCTGAATGCTGCTTCCTGAGTCAAGTTCCTGGCCCAAAGCATCTCTAGGCATCTTTGGGATCCAGTCCTGTCCCCTCAATCCTTCGGCTGTGACTGATGAGCCCACCTGCACAGGAAAGGTGGTGCCCAGGGCAGCTACTCACATTGCTTTGGTATCCTGAGAGCCTCACTGTCAGGCACCAAAACCTGGTGAAGCACGCCTCGGAACTGGTACAGCACTCGAAGACTCTTCTCCTCCCCAACACATGGGTCGTAGAACCCTGGCAGCCCAGCCTGTGAACAAACAGAGGGCCAGCCCTCAAGCCCTGCACCGCTCCCATCTGCCCCCAGCTGGGCACAACCTGGATGAGGACACGCACTTTGGAGCTTGATGAAGGAATGAGAATTTAGTTTATGGAGGTAGTGCCAGATTGGTCCTCAAGTCCCTTTCTCAAGCCAGCCCGAAGCCCACCAGACACAGCCACAGATGACTTCTGAACCCACAGCCCTTTTTAAATGAAATGCAAGGGCCAGGAAGGCTGCTGTGGGTTGTTTGCTGGACCTGTGGACACTTGTGAGTTGATTTTAGAGTCCACGAAAGTAGGCCGTGGTGCCGGCACAGGAGCTATCCAGGTACTGCAGGCCTGACCGTCATTGTCACCTGGCTCTGGACCCCAAGCTGCCTTTTGCTATGGATCCTGGTTTGGAGCAGGGTCCAAGGTGCCCTGGTGGTGTACCTTGGAGGCCTCAGTGAGGATGAGCTTGGAGTCCTTTACCAGGCACTGCAGGGGCACTGTCACATCGATCACCTTCACCTTTTCATTCTTCTTGCTCTTGTCATTGACAAATTTCCCATACCAGGCGTTCACGATGATAAGCCCTGGGGACAGACCGGCAGGAGATGACACAGGCTGCCTTAAATTTGGCCCCAGCACACAGCCCAGCCTAAAGATGGCACGCCCGCTCACCCATTCGGGACTCCTCTGCTTCGATTATTCTCCGGACAGATTCCTGCATCAGTCGAACCTGAGAGAGGACGGACATGTCGGGGACCCTGGGCTAGCTTGGGCTACATAACAAGAGTGAGGTCATCTAGGACACACTGTAAGATCCTGCCTCAAAACAGGCACTTCAAGTGAGCAGCTGGACCCCTGCTTTTCTTTGAAAAGGACCTATGTTCTCTGTGGAGTCATGCAGCAGGTAGGGATGTGTGCTGGCCCCCAAATGGGCACGTTTGCCTGGGGACATGGATGGCCTCACATAGTCTGTCTGCTGTGTGCCTTTGCAGCCTGTCACAAGAATCCTATGGGACTCTGCCATTAAGCCATGACGATCCCTTGCCACCTATGATAGGCAGTACATAGAGGGAGGAAACAAGGGCAACACCTGCCCCTTCACAAAGCCTTGTTAGGCCTCTGGAGGGTCGCACTCGTCACAGACCGAGGTCTCCAGAAAGTGCCCCTCAGGCCACAGAAGAGCTTAGGAGGAAATGAGGTTGTTGGGGAAGAGGAGCCCTTGGGCTCTGTCTGGGACCAACACTGGAGAGTAAAGGAGTTTCTTTTGCAGTCCCAGCTTCAGCAGGGTGGGCTAGAAGGGACTAGAGGAGGCTGCCCTGTGCCCTGGACTGTGCACAGCAGCAGAGGGGCACTCACAGCAGCTTCTGCCTCTTGCTTCTTCTGCAGGATGTCGCTGGCTGTGTTCTCCCTTTGCTTTTCCAGTTCCCTTTGAGATAGAAGCAAGGCACAAGTCAGTCTATGGCAGGGGAGCTGCGCCCCCTGCTGGACTGTGCCCACCATGCAGTCTGTGATCTTAACAGGATTTCTGCTTGTCTAGGACTTCAGCACAACCAAGGCAGCCTGAGCTCGCCTTCCCTGACCACCTCTTCCATGGAGCCTCCTGAAATGCGCTCTCCTTGGGAGAAGACTCCAGCAAGCAGGGGAAACTCAGGCTGCTCTGGATGCACAGAAATAGTCATTCTTACAGCAAAATATAGGGACTGAGGGTTGGCCCCCCAACAGCCCTGCCAGAGACCCGATGGAGCACACTCTTTGCCTAGGTTTTAAACACCCATGGGAACTGGGTGGCTACACTATAGTGACGAGGTCATAGGCAGCCAGAAGGCACCTTGTCCCTCCTCACAAGTTCAGGGTCTAGAGATTAACACAGGGCTTCTCCATCGCTTGGGTTTCGGATGGATGCTTGGGGTCAGTTCTGGCTCAGGGGGCTCCTTAAAAGAAACTGTAAAGCCAACTCGGTTACATGGTTTCCGTGACTACAGTTAGTGTGTGTCAGAACAGATTCATTCCACTTCAAGCCAGGGTGAGATGTCTAGGACCAAGGAGGGAGATGGCATTTCTACTGGTCCCATTTAGAGCATCATTTTATAAAGCAAGTCCAGTCATTTGTGCAGGTGTGACTGACTGGCCAAGAGTGACTGGGGCCTGTCAGGACCTGGGAGCATGCTCAGCACTTCCTTGGCATTAACCTGCTTCATTTTCCCAGGAACAGATGCAGCTCTCTCTGCAGTTGAAGAGATTGAAGCACAGGCTTCTAATGAGAAACTCACCTCTCTTTCTGAGCCCTGAGGTAAGGCTTGATGATCAAACGGTGCATTGCCAAGTAGATTACTAGCGGCCCCACAGTGGCATAGAACACAGCACTGGGGAGCAGCTGATCCGTCAAGTGAATCGGGAAGAA